CATTTTTATTATACATATTACAATTTAAATAAAGCTATTTTTACATCAAGCAGGCATTTGTATGAGTTACATATTTGTAAACAGTTATGTATTATATTTGTACGAGTTACATATTTGTAAACAGTTATGTATTATATTTGTATGAGTTACATATTTGTAAACAGTTATGTATTATATTTGTACGAGTTACATATTTGTAAACAGTTATGTATAATATTCATATGTCATCAATCTTAAGAAACTAGCTGATGTTTGCCTGTCTTGTTCTATTGATCAATCAGCAAGCTACTATTTTATATTATAATTGATTTATTGATTGTATGTTCATTCATCAGTTTTTAATTGATTTTATTTTTTCTCAATATGATTAGTTATCTGTTCATTGATTCTGATGCCTTTGATTTCATTAATCAATTATCAATTAAACTCTGATCGATCACTTTTTTTGTCTTGATATACAATATATATGTAATTAGCAATCAGTCACCTGTCAATCAAAATCCCTTGTCAATCAAACTTCTTTTTCATTTGCTTTTTATGCAATTTGATATCAATTTGCAGCATATTTTTGTAATTTGTTTTATTTTTATAGTTCATTTGAATAAGTGAGGAAATTTCAAGAACATGGAAGAACAGGTGTCAACTGGGAAAAATGCTGGTATACAAAAAAGAATTGATGTCTATATTATGCAAAGTATTAACCATTTTTCAAGTGTTTTATTCGAACAGAAAACAGTAATTTTTCAAAAAATGAACAGAAATATAATAGGGAAGATGTAAAACATCATCAAATGAAAAATGTATGAAATTCCAACAGCAGAACACAATATCTGCAAATCTTTTGAAGTTTTTATGGAAATCAATTAACATATTAAATATTCAGTATTTCAACGCTATCATGTTTGTGATGCTCAATAAGATCTGCTTCGGTTATTCTATCTTGAATATCAGAAATATGGCACATGGAAATATGTTTTTGTTCTGAAAGGCAGATTGCGTTGGCGCCAGTGTGTGTAGAAAGATGCAACTTTGGTATATTTGCAACTTCTATTAATATAAAAGCAGATGCTCTTTTGTTTTTCAAATTTCCCCATTCAAGAAAAAATGATTGTTCCTTACTCAAGGCAGGTGTTGAATGTGCCAATATTCTCTAATCAAGCACACAGATTGATTATTCCAATAGGGGTTTCTATTGTGATTTACGAGGAAAAGGCAGATTGCAGACAAAGTGTTGGGAGTGTTGGGGAGGGTGGTAATTAAAGCAGGCAGATGTGTAAAGAAGATAGTTAATTAGGTCTCATCAGGTTAAATCTATTACTGAACCTAGCAACATTCTTGTCATATCAGAAACTTCCACCAGATTCTCCCGACCACGTCCTCGCATCCCAGAAACCCTACTATTCCTCACTACTTCCAAGAAAGCGTTGAATTGGCAAGATAAACCAGAGCCTACAACAGCCACGATCTCATAATTAACAAAAATTCACCAACATGGTAGCTTCTTTGAAATTTCACCTAAGAATTTATGGATTTGTATTTCAAGGGACTTGTCATAATAGATGGGTTCATTCTAGAGAGGAAGTATATTTTCCTGTAGAGTACATTGGGAGTTAGCTGGCTACTTGCAGATAACACAAGACTGCCTGACAGCGAAGCCAAACATACATTCTAAATGTCACTGACTATTCAAGTTTACTCATTAAAAATTGAATGAAGTATTTGATTTTCTGGTTTGCGTTATGCAATCTAAGATTTGACTGTTTGAACTCCATGGCAATTTCTCATATTTTTGTTGTATTTAACAATGGAAACGTATGACCTCAATGAAAACATGTCATTATAGGAATTTTCTGCAATGCCTTTGGGAACTCCTACTTTGTTTTTGTAGGTTTTATATGAAATGCTATATTAACTAGTTCTAACTTTGGTTTATATATTTAGAGATGTTAAAATGTTCCTAACCGTTCTTAACCATATTTGTTTTCACCAACTTGTGTACTTTGTTATTCTTGAGTTTTTTCGACAAAGAAATTGCCAATAGGCAGCCCTCTGTTAATATAGATATCAAAATACATCTGCATTGACATAAATTCTATTCAATCAGAAATAACTATACATAAAGCGCAAACCACAATATGTGAATTGCAATAAAGGATAAAAGACTCAATCCTTCAGTGTTTTAGTAGAGTCTGTTATTTTTTAATGCTTAGTCTATCAATCTAAAGAAAATTTGGGATCAATTTTCTCTTATAGTTTGCAAACAGCTGAGCTCTAGTAGCAGGTGATATTATGATGAAAATAATTTGGAAAAACAAAAGAACGAGTTACCACCAAATGTCGACTATTAATGAAACAATTCTATTGAATCACCCTTGACAAATTTCTGACGGTGTAGGTTTTTATTCAAAAATCCACCCCAAAATATTGAAATTTTCAATAAAATTTTTAGACAATTTTGAAGATCATATTCTGAATTGTATAGAAATGCCAAAAAATGAGATACTTGTTTCAATTTTTTGCAAGAAAATTCATTTTTTATTTGATCGATTGAAATTGTCCGTCTGCAAGATTATGGTGTCTATTGACTGTGATTACTTCATGCAGCTGAGCTCAATGCTTTGTCTTGGAATTTGCGGAACAAGACCCTGGAAAAACGAAAACACTTCATTGATCTAATTCTAGTTTATCATGGTTAATAGCACAATGACATTTGGAGGAATTTACAAAAATATGTAAACAGTTATGATGTCATTTATTCTCTACTCCATTTTATAATAATGGCAGTGAGTGGCTGGCTGCATGCTTCATAAAAAGACATTTTGTGGTTGGTTCCGAATTATTTTGAAAAGATCCCTTTATATTATTTGTCATATAATATGCTTTAAACTGTCAGTATTTAGATAACTAATGATTTAAGGGGAGCCGTTTTATTCATATAAATTATTCATTTAGTTTGATGCTTTTTAAATGCATTATTTAGTATATGATGCTAATCATAACACATGTTTCAAGTTTCATTGTCAGTGAATTTTTTTTTAAACAAGCCTTGATCAGAGTTATCCTCAGAGGTTTATAAAGATGCAAAATCAAATGATTTAAAAGGGTATAGCAGAAAAATAATACTCCAGTTTCATCTGATAACAGTTTCTTGCCTTTGCTCAGACTAATGGCTGGAATTGAATACCCTTTTGCAAGAATCATTGAGTTTATTTCATACTCTCTATGCGACAGATTTTCCTGAGCCAACCCATAATCGCTCAAATATAGTTCTTGTCCTTATATGGAAACATAAGGGTGTTGCTCTGCAGAGCTCTCTGATTTGGTACAATCTCTATTACAGAATAATCTGTTTATTCCAAAGGGTAATATTAAAGCATTTTATTAGACAATTAGGTCAGTATAGTATTAAAGTATTATACTAGATAATAAGGTCAGAGTAGAAGTGTAGTATTATACTGGACAATAAGGTCAGTGTAGGGATAAAGGGGGTGTATCTAAACATGAGGGATACATGAGCATAGTAGAAATATATATGCAGGTTCTTTTTATTTCAAAACTCAATGATCAGTCAGTTTTGTCTTCAAAATATGTATTTTATTGTCTCATTTAGGGCCATATACTTGAGAGTTATGATAATTAATTTTTTAGTAAATGATATAAAATATATGTTAAGGAGATAGGGGTAGTAAGAAATATGAACAAAATAATACAACATGTAATTTAAAAAGCCATTTACTGTAATAAAACATAAATGATTTAGAGGCAGATTTTAGTGCAGATGAAACAGCAGATTTTTACCTACTAATGGCAGAAGAGCTATTCTGAAATATATTCTAAATCAACTTTCATCAAATTACACAATATTGTCTAAATTACAGACAAAGTAGATGATTTTCAGAATTTCCTGTATATTTTAGAGCATAGAGTTTCAACCTGTGTCTAATATATATTGCAAAAATATTCTATATTGCACCCGTAGATGTATAAATGTTTTTATTTTGTGATAGTTTATTGCCAGGGAGACCAGCAGTTTGCAGTGAGCAGCTTGCTTTGATAACCCAACCAACCTCTTTATAATATTTAAATTTTCCTTTTTAAAACAAAAGCCAGGTTGATTCCAATTGATCAATAACATCTATCAAAAATTTGCAATCTGCTGTTTGAGCCTTTCAACTTGCATAGCACCCCTATCTAAAATTTCCAGTATGATTTTATGTGTGATTTAAAAGCCTTATGCGAGTTTAAAGGTTAAAACAATAGATACAGAGACAGATGGGGAAAAGCATATCCAGCATCGCAACACATTTGTTAGAACAACAAAAAAGAAACTTTAATTTCAGTTTCACATTCATGAGCTATTAAAGCAACACCAAGGTAGGGGAGAATTCTACTGCAGCTTCTACTAATAGGATATAATAATAGGAACAATTAATTATAGCATGATATGTATGTATTATATAACTTGGAAGGAAATATATTATGAGAGCAGGCTATATTATATCACTTAGAAGGCTATATATCATTTTAAAGGCTACATATTTCTTAGAGGGCTAAAAATGAATCGAGAAATATATATGAGATTATTAAGAGTTTTGATTAAAAGATACACTAGGATTATTTTGATTGCAAAAATTGCATATTAGTATAAAATGAAGATAATATATAGCAAATTCTACTGTCTTTGCTCTATTTGATTTGTATTTTTTGATATAAATGGCATTAGGCTTGTTTTAACAGTTATTGAAAGTGGACATACAGATACATTCATTGCTATAATCCCATATAGGGAAATGGTACATAATTGAGAAGATGGAAATGGTACATAATTGAGAAGATGGAAATGGTACATAATTGAGAGGAGGGAAATGATATATGAATAGAGATATACACTTATTCTGCAAATTTTGGAATAGTAAACCCAATAGCAATAGCAATAGCAATAGCTAAAACAGAGTCTATAACACAAACTTTTCTTAATCTGGATATTTCTGTATTTTCAGATTACCGTGATTCGAGTATGCCCGACTCTCCCGACACTAAGAACGCAAGTACGACTGCGGCATCCCCAGCCACCTCTCTTGCGCCATCTATGGGCCAAATGACACGATCTCTATCCACAGGCAGTAGCAATTCAGGTAAGTGACTTGTAGTTATTATATGATTAATGGTCATAGGTATAATATAATGGTCATAGGAGTATTACATAATGGTTATAGGTATTATATGATAATGGTCATAGATATTACATAATGGTCATGGGTTTGAATAGATAACTCAGTGGATCATAGAAGACTGTGCCAAGAGAAAATTCAAATATCATGTGAACTTAAAATTGTATAGATTCACAATTTAGAAAAAATATGGGAAAAGATATGACAAAAAGCTCTGTCTGTGTGAGAGAAATTTGGGATAAAATCACAATTAAATTAAACAAAAGAAATCATGGTGAACTTTTAAAATGATTAAAACCTTCAACAACAAGTCTGTAAAAGGCGAGGAGTGAGCCTAACATATGCTGGATTAGAACTAAGTTCCCAATTCAAAAATAGAATAAAAAACAATTGATGGATTAGCTAGGCTCTGAAGAAAGCTATTGGCTGCATGGCTCTTATTCTCACACCCTTAGACTATTTCTCGATCGTCACATTTTCCCGATTTTATTTCCATTCATATTTAGCAATAATAATAGAAAACGTTCAACATAGAATAATGTTAAAATCATAAAATGCATTAAAGTTTCCCAAATTATCTGTTTTTCCGAGGATAATATAACATTTGTTAGACGTTTGAATTGTTTTTTAAGGGGATCATTGCCAGCATTTGTGCCTGAGACATATTTTCCCCAGCATTGCGAATTATCTAAATACTTTAATTCTCCGATTAATTGGGAGTATGATAGATTTGAAATGAAAATATTAGCGTGTGACTCACTACACCTGATCAAGGCATATATATTGTAATTGAAACCTTAACGCAATGTGAATTGTTCGCTTTATTATATTATACAACTTAAAGGATCAGAAAGATGGTGTCAATTCCTACTGGCATTTTTGATCTGATTTAAAGCCTGTCTGCTGACATATGATGTCATATGATGTCAGTTATATATTAATACGATAGTGTTCTACACATGATCATAGCTCATATTTCTTAATCTATATATTACAGTAGATTGACTTATTGTGCCATTTATGACGAGCGTTCAACGAACTAAACCTTCAAGTAATTTTATATGTTACACATAGCTCTAATGTTAATTATGACAGATAAGTCAGATCATTTTTTAAACAGAAAATAAGAAGTAAACAACAAAATACATTCTTGTAAAGCAATGTTATCGGTTTAGCCTCAGGTAATTTCAAAGAACAACATAAATTATGCATAGTTCTTCTACATATCACCTTGAGATAAAATAACACTGTACAATATTTAAAATTGAAATAATCGAGGAAAAGGTACCAATAAACTTGGAACCAATAGGTATGGCAAGCTCGCAATGCTCTTAATTTCTTAAACCCCCCAAAATTGGTTGCACCTTCATATATATCCCCAAAAAATGTTGCATAATTTTGACCATATATAGTTATATTAGAAGCGGGAAGTAGCCTTAATCCGTAATCAAATTATCCATATTCAATAAGGTTTTCTGGGCAAACATAGATTCCTTAACTGATCCTTAGGCAAGTAAATCAAGGATGTTAAATTCATAAATTACTCCGAGTAAACACCAGGAGAGCAAATAGACTTGAGGACTTTAATCCTTTAATCCATATCTAAGCTACTATTTGATATTTCATCCTTTGCTGTTTCAAATGATAATTTTATGAATCTTAAACGAACATTTCCTGAAGTGATAAATCAAACGAGAAAACACTGACTGATTAAATTTGAAAATACAAATCGATGCTGCTAACCTTGTAAATTGCTCAGGTAGTATATTATATTACTTTACTATGGAAAATGGTAATAGAACGGGTTTTATTTTGTATATTATATTACTGAATAGCATCATAACACCTGGCTCATATATACCACAAATATACAATCCCTCCATCATCAATGCAAAATACAAACAATCAGGCAAAAATTTGATGACAGACAGACATTATTGAAGTTATTTTGTATGAATTCAGCTGTTTGTCCTTTGATCAATTTGAATTGAAATGATCTGTACATGTTGGTTTCGTTGAATGTTGTATGTATAAATATTTCAATTCATTAGATTAGTTTGTGTTTTAATGATAATCTATTTCAATAAGGTATGTAAATATAATACTCAAAACATGAAAAGTTAAAAACACTTTTCAGTTGAAAACACCTTTTATACAGTACATTAGGCATTCCACTGACTGAGCATGCATAAAATTGATATACCTTTATAATTGGTTTAATATATATTTAATTGTGCTTAAGGATCAGGGTGATCCGAGAAAGGAAATTGCTTTTTTATAGTTTGTTGAACATTGAACCTGTATAATCATTTGTTTAAAATCATGTTTCTTAGTTGCTGTTTGTTTTGAAAAATCAGTGATAAAATGCAAATTGAATTGAATTACTGAATCATACATAATTCTAAGTAATATATTTCTTCTTAATAAGTATTTAATCATATTTTATTTTAAAAGATATGGAATTAACTTGTACATATATCTCATAATTTTAATTCTCGCCAATAATTAGTCAATGTTTCCACTTATTATGTCAGAATTTGAATTATGTTGGAATGTATAATTTTGCAATTAACAATAGAAGCATAAATCATATCTTAATTGTTCCGTCATAAATTCTAGATTACTACGTAATTCACCATCCCTCAGCCCTGGTTCTTTATCTCAAATATGTAACTTCGCATTTTTATTTCATTTGCAACCGTTTTTATTGAACTGAAGATAATGTCGAAAATTATCCTTAATCTGTTGTTTTTTCATAGCTCTAGTAGTAGTAAAATAAATTCCCAAGATGAAGAGCAGTTTTGTTTTTAAAAGTGCATATATAAACACTCTTTTGTCAGAATAATAAACCATGTGATATGATTGAGCCAATTAGATTACTGAAATAGTATTGCTGTTGTTAAGAATTGTGGGATTGTAACAGTCTTTTGCTCAAGTTGTCCCATTGATTCATGTGTGAATTAGAAGTGCAGAAACACACTGGTGCACCCCCTCGTGGAATAGTTGAAATCGTTTGGATTGTTGAGTGTATGAGTATACTAGTAGATCATATAGATATATCACCTTAGCAACCGATACAAACACACCTTATATTTACTCGAAACTTCTCTCCATTTTCTCATGAAATTCAGATGATGCAATCATAATTTGTGAAGCTTTCATCTGGGGTTTCACCCATTTTGCATGGTCAATGGTTGTGTTTTCACGCAATGAAAACATGTTTTGATACATAGAATTTGTAAGGGTACTGTTCTAGTGGGCCATCTATCAGAACATTTTAACATTCTCAGCTTTTTCTCTCTTTTTTCTCTAAAATTTGAATGAAGTTCCCAATTTTCTTGCATTTTTGTAGAATTTAGGGTATTGACTATATGTTTATTTACTTTAATCCGTGTTAATGTAACGATTTACCTCACTTTTGAGCTATTAAAAACATGACCGTGAACGTTCAGTTGTAAGGGTTCCGCACCTGTTTATTCTCAACAGCCAGTGATAACATTACCTTTCCCAGCCCTCTTACTGGCCAGCGCAAACCACATATGGAAATATGCCGCAACATTTCACAACCTTAACACATGTATATATAGCAGATTAGGCAAATATTGGGGCTCAATTGGGCTTTTGGAGACAATTTAGGATTTACAGAGTTTCACTATATTTTGATGGCTTTATAAGTTTTGTTTTGTGGTATTTGAACTCAGGTTGCACAATTATTGTGTGAGTATTAATTAAAGTGGTTGGAAAGTACTAGGATGCCTGAATATGGCCTTCGATTTTTTAGAGGTATTTATAGATTGGTCATGTTTTTTTAATTGTACATATTGTTTATTTATGATTTGTACTGTATGAGACATTTATTTAACAATAAAATCATCGTTTTAATCTATGAACATTAAGAATCATATAAATGTGTAAAAAAATTTAAAGGTCTCATTAACAGAACTATTTATTATGATTTAATGCTTAAAGAATGTTTACACTTTACATTTTGATTGAAATCTATTGTAAGAGCATTACTGTTAAATAATTTTCTGTGTTTACAGGAATGAATGGGTCTCATTCCCCTCATAGTAGCGTGAATGGTCGCACCCCATCCCCGCCTGCGGTGGGTAACTCCGCCTCAATGCAGCAGCTCCCCCCTGCCTGTGGGGCAAGGCAACTCAGCAAACTAAAACGCTTCCTAACGACTCTACAGCAATTTGGATCAGATATTTCTCCAGAGATTGGGGAACGTGTCCGCAGCCTCGTTTTAGGACTAGTGGTAGGTTGAAATGTCACGTTAGAATTTAATATGCTATGTTGGTTAATATACACATTTTTTATCTGTGATTGTTGTTCATCATTATTTATTCTATGTTTAACTATATTTTTAAGGTGTTTCATATGATTTTAAGACATATGATTTTTGTTAAATGATTTCACATATTTTCCCCCGAATGAATTGAATATTTGAAAGATAACAGAGTGTTGCAGAAGATTAGGGGACATAATCACAATAGTTCGTTGATTCAGATTAATCAAGGTTTAAAAAAGATTGAAACAGAAACATATTTTACTGATTAGATTTGATTCTATAAGTACAACTGTCACTTTAATTCCCAACCAAAACATGAAACATTTCCGTTCTCTGTAAAAGCGTAAACATTTTTTAATCAACTGCTAACTTGAATCTACAGTATGTTTTTTTCTTGAATTGTGTTAAAACATAATTATGACACATTATCATAGATGTAGAAACATGGTGATGACATGATAGTATCTTGCTAATTGACAATTATATCAGTCACACATGTCTGATTAAATTATTGATAATTTCACATTTGTCACGCCTTTGCAAACAAGTCATCACGCCATCTTTGACTCTACTTGTAGATGAACTGGCCGATTTTATGGAGTTGCTATATACATTTAGAAAATTTGCTTATCTGCTTATTTATTTTATTTCTAACAAAGTTCAGTATTTCTTTGGCCACCATGATCAAGGTCTTATGAAAGAGAATGGGTGATGATTCATATTACATCAAGCTGCATCGGACAGCTGATAATCTTAATTTACAAATGGCAAATATCTTGGCCCTGCATATTTACGAACAAGTACACAAACATGAAATTATTAAATTATTGAAATTAATAAGTTCAAATGATATGAGTCATAGATACATATGCTGAGGCAAATTGCATTGTATTTTATATGTTGAACCACATCCACATGTGTGTAAACAGCAAATTCATTCCTATACAAAATGTCAGCCCTTAAAGTTGAGAATTGATATTTTAAATTGGTGAAAAGGATACAAAATCAAGAAAAGAAAATGATATAAAATATCCAGGGGTGAAGGTTTGGGTGTGAATCATAAAAAAATGCTGAAAAACCACAAACTTCAGTCAATTTTTTCTTCAGTAATGATTGAATCGTGTTCGCCACTGTATGAAACGTCTGCTAATATCATTGTATTCTGATATACAGCACAAACACAGGTGCTAACTGCATCAATGTTCTTTCTTATCAACTTTTGTTTTTATTTTAATTTAAAACACTCTTATCTGCCAATGAAGCATATGTGTAAGAAGTTCATGTAAATTTAGAAATTTTAAATGTTCGCTAAGTTTTTCTTGTATTTGCTCTATATGCTGACGGTCTGAATCAAAACTACCCCCCCCCCCCTCCCAGGACTCCGGGGCTTAAGCTGATGCTTATTTTTCACCCTCATGAAATTATGCTGAAGGGTAGATTCAGAATTTGATATCAACATCCACTATCTGTTTGAGTGATAAACATTTGTTACAGCTTTATATTGAAATTCAATGAATTCATCTTTATATATATGCGAGATCAAACCACGATAGCAAAAGAAGATACATATGTTTTAGAAGATACTGATGCAACACGTTTCTGCATATATAAAAACAAAATATAAACGCAACGCAAGATGTCTTCCCTCGTAAAGTTCATAACAATTTTATTGAACAGTTGTGAAGAGCATTCTAACCAACCAATTTAAGAAAAACTTTGGAATGATTCTGTTCGATGCTCTTCAATTTTATGAACATCTGTATACCAAGAAAATTCACACTTTTATTAAAAATGAACATATCCTGACTGAATGTTTTACAATGGAGAAAAATTATTTTTAATCCTATTTGAATAAGGTTTAGACAACCATATGTTACAATTCCATAGTTCTAACAAGACTGATGGTTGTGGTTCTTTTCAAATTAATTATACGAATGTGAAGGATAAAGTATGTATTTTCCCTCCCTTTTCAGAATTCTCACCTCTCCATTGAAGAGTTCCACTCCAAATTACAAGAGGCGACCAACTTCCCTCTGAGGCCATTTGTCATCCCCTTTTTAAAGGTAAGTGAAATGTTAGTTTACAAATACGCATACATGTAGAATATGATACACTTAAATTATGAACTTTTTTTTGATATATGACGTTTAACAAAGCTGAAACAGCGCTTTGATAACAATGTTATAATTCTGAGATAGTCAATTTATATTATCCCTAAATAACCTAAATGCCTAAAAATAAATACTAAAAGGAAACTGATTTTATTTTTGTGTTGTTTATTTATAGACCAGTGTGGCTTTTGGAACAGATGTCCATAGAAACCCAAAATAACATTTTCCGTAACTTATTTGCCAAATTTAGCTATCAGAATTCAAAAATACATCCCCCAGCCATTTCTGATATCGAATGTTGTCTGGGTGCATTTCTGTCAGCAATAAAATGAATTCATTGTTTCTTAATTATGACATCATGATTTCTGTGGTTTTTATAATACACCCATATGTAACATTATATGCTCCCATATGTCACACACTATGTGCCCATATGCAACGTAATATGCCCCCATGTGTATCATAATATGCACCCATGTGTATCATAATATGCACCCATGTTTAACTTAATATGAACCCATGTTTACCTTAATATGCACCCATGTGTAACTTAATATGCATCCATGTTTAACTTGATATGCACCCATGCACCCATGTGTAACTTAATATGCAGCCATTTGTAAAGAAATCCTCTTGTACTTTCAGGCAAATTTACCTCTGCTTCAGAGAGAGTTATTGCATTGTGCAAGAGTTGCCAAACAGACCCCTCAACAATATCTTGCCCATAATGAACACATACTTCTGGACACCTCACACTCTCCAACTGAATCTCAGGACATTATAACAGATATTAATGAGAATGGGAAACGAAGAGCATCCCCCGATCGGCCAAAAGAAAATGGCACGGATACTGCTAGTATGGAGCCCATGAACCCTGCCAAACGACCACACACTATAAGTCCCGCAAACTCCACACATATTAGTCCTAATACTAACTTCCTGAATAGCGGACCAATCAGATTGGAGGATATAAGTCTCTCCAGAGAGCTGCGAGAACGTGAGAGATTAGAACGGGAAAGATTTGAACGTGATCGTCTTGATCGTGACAGAGATCGTCATTTTGGTGGAACTTATGGCGACTTCAGACAAAGTGAGTTTAAATTGATTTCTTAGATTTGCACTATAGTAGTAAATGTTGCAAACACCTACAAGTCATATGAAGTGTATAAAAAGTGACAACAATGTTTTGGAGAATACTCATGTTCCTTCCTTTCCAAAGGTACATCATATTGATTTATGTATCTTGTAAATCGTTGCATTTCTGCACAGTTCTAATACATGTACCCTGTGTAAAGTGGAATTTGAGTTTATTTTAAAAAGTCAATGCTCCAGATTGAAAGTAATTGGAGTCAATACCTTTGGACTAGAACTTAAACAGAACAATGTGTATAACTATTAAATGTTTACTTGCAGCCTTCCAGAGGCCTGATGGACTAGAATGTAGACTTGACCGTATAGATGATGACTGGAAACACGTTGACACAGTAAGTTACATACCCACCTACCCGCTATCATCCCCCCTCCCATCCCAATCACTATATAAAATTTCCATAAAATGGGGGGTCAGTACCATAAGGGCTTGATTTAAGACTATCACAATGAATAATGTGGAATTATAGTTGGTAAAATTAACACTCATGCAGTCAACTCATAAGTGAGCTAATCTAACAATTAATTTGAAAAGTAAGGAATACAATTGATACACAAGTATGATTTTAAACATATGTCTTTACATTTATAATTTAAAAATGAGTTCAGAAGTTTAGATATGTCAAAAAGGTGTGTGTTTGTGCCATTGACCAATACATTGAACTGAAATAACATTTCAAGCAACTTGCCTCATATATTGATTACCCTTTGTAGGACTGTTAAAAGAGAGTCTCGTCTACCCTCTTAAAATAATTTGATCTAGACTTTCCAATCAAGATTATGAGTTCGAAAATTATGACTTACTGCTCTTTTATCTTCCTATCATTTAATAGAGGTGATTAAAGATCATATCAGCATCAAATCTTTTAAATCCTTTGAGGTTCTCAGAGGGAAGGTTTGTTCCTACCAGCTGGTTGTTTTCAGGGTACATGTACATATTGATGATCGAGGCACATGTAACTGACTAACATTATCAGCTCTGATTGAATTTCAATAATCAAATAGATCAGAAAACATTTTTTTAATGATTCAATGGACCAATATGTAATAATCAATGGGTCGTAAATATTATTTTAAAGACGAACCAACAAAACAGGTCGCGATGACCTTTGGCATCAAGTAATTTGAAGACTATATAAATGATTATCACAAAAAGTAGTTAAGTGCCTGTAAAATGGAATCCAATATAAAATCCATACATTTACCTAACATTCCTAGTCTTGCATCAAACCCCTGAATTGCCCCCCTCCCCTCCTATTTTATCTCAGACAAATTGGAATGCATAGTACATGTAGATAGTAAAGGGATGAGACTACCTTACAAACAGAAGGTTGGAACATAAACACTAAGTTTTCTGAAATTCCTTTCTGTAATTTAATTCCAATACTCATCAAATATAATCTACTTTTAGATGCTGCATTGTATAATTGATATGGTGGGCAAAACAAAGAGGGCGCTGAGTGTGCTACAAGAGCGCAGTATGAAAGATCGTGATGAGCTCTCTCTATGGATGCGACGCCATGCGGAAGGTCTAGACCAAGACATGAAGAAACGGACCAATGAAATGATGGCACATACAATGAGGACAACAGAAGATCGTGTCTGTGAAGTGAAGCGTCGAGCAGGTAACCGAGACAACCTTTTTTTACATTTATCTCTTTTTATTTCATCCATAAATAAATGTTAGTTCACTATCTTTAAAAGAATGTAACATATTTTAATCATTTGGTTGCTTACACTTCCATTCAAATTCATTTTTTAATAACTGGAACTTTTTTTCTTCAGAGGAAGCAGTAAATGAAGTGAAAAGGCAAGCAGTTTCAGAATTACAAAAAGCTGTTGCAGCCGCTGAGCAGAAAGCGTCAGAACTTGTTTCTGCGGAGAAAAAGAAAATGGAAGCACAAGTCCAGGAAGCCCGGAAACTGGCACAGGAGGATATTCGTTCCATAAACCAACAGGAAGAGTCGAATGAGGTATTTACCCATTCATCAATATAGAAACATGATAATGCCCCTCTATAGCAGAAAAACATTGTTGAAAAGGTAGACACTGAAATTATTACACCATTTAATGAGATTCATGAATCTATTTGAGATTGTGAAATCCATAGATTGTTTGTTAATTCAGTGTTTGGATGGGGTATTTCATTCACATAGGGATGATAGATTGACTAATCTTGATGATACATTTTAAGTTATATTGATTCAGGTGCAGATGTTGTATGTACTTAGCAGCTTGTGTTGTGTTTCACTATTCATTCACAGCTGTACGTATTTTAAATGAAAATCTATAGTTTTCAATAGCTACAATTATAGTATGTTTTTGTATGTAGACCTCAAACATATTGCAATATGTACACCAAAGTGTATATAATGACTGATGTAATTTGTCACACATGTATCCATCCACAGCCGTCTGCTTAATTATCTTTGCATTATGGGTAATCATGATGTATTGATTGTATTCCATCTACTAAATCTGTGGCATTATGGGAGGGGTTGGGCACAAAGGGTGATGCTGCACTATTGTATTTTTGTCATTTCACAGTGTTTACATATCAAATAGCTTATAAAATGTAGCATTATGGGTAAATACATGTTAAAATACACATATTGTTTTGTGATTCCAGAGTTGCTGGAATTGTGGGAGGAAAGCAAGTGAGACATGCAGTGGATGTAATATAGCACGCTACTGCGGGGCATTCTGCCAACACAGAGACTGGGAAAACCATCATAGAGTATGTGGCCCCTCGGCTACACGCGAGTCACTAATGACCGCAAAGTCAACAGAAAATTCCCCTCATGCCACAACAACTACGTCCGTGACGACAAGCTCAGGCCAACAGGGGGCAGCACGCTCAAGCCCAGTCATGGTCTCTAGTCCCACAACCTCCACAGCCACAAGACCTGACTCCAGGTCCGCCTCTCAGTCGGGGTCACGGCCAAATTCTCCACCCTCAGAGTCAAAATCATCAGAACATGATCGTTGATTATATAATCAGGGTTGTTTTTAGTCAGGTGATTAGTATATAGGGAGACACCTAGTGTCCATATAGGGTACTAATAACATCAAAGTGGCGGAATATTCAAGCGTGTAAAATGTTTTGCATTTAAACAGCTCTATAGCGCACTGACAGCTGTTATAGAGTCAGTTTGGCCCTGACTCCACAGTTTATTCAATGGGTAACAAACAACACAGTTATGAATGTAGGAAGAAGTGGGTCAAGCCATTTATTATAGAATAGCCGGGTGATATAGCTATATACAGCATACCATTACGGGACTACCTGAATACAAAATATCACACTAGTTGGATTTATCCCATGCCTTTTACCTCTCGAATGTGAACTATACTCATATAGACCCCAATTTTGAGACATTGCTGTATATTGTATAAATTAAGAGAAATTTTCATTTTGTGCCAAGTTAAACTAGGGAAAATCTGTTGTGTGATGTTTTGTGTTCGGGTAGATATATTGTACATTTGTAGAAAGCGAAGAAAATAATATAATTAATTGTACATTTTATTTATGTATAAATGGTGAAGTTATTTTTTGTGTGATGTTTATTAAAGTGTCATTGGTTAACGCTCATGCATGTACACTTTAGAGTATATAACCTAGCGAACTTGTAAGTCAATTATGGCATTTATGGCAGTATGGTGCTTTGTTTTGGAGAAATTGTTCAAGAAAATCGGGGTAAAGAGGGGTGTCTATGCCATGTTTTAAAATGCTTATTCTTTTGTTTTGAGAAGTTTTGAGGTCAGACACTCATAAAAACAAGTCATTTGATGTGATTTTAACAAGATTTGAAATTTGTCCTGTGATACGATTTCAGTTAATATACACAATACTGGTAACTTAGCATTATCGCATTATTGTTATGATCGACTCTGAGATTTACACAGCCCATATAACTGGTATAATGTGTCCAATTTTTAATGGGTGAAATCTCAATGAGACGTGCATTTTGGGTAACAGTTTAAGGATGAAATTGATTGTAAAGTATTCTTCTACTCAAGTCACTTTATATATACATGTACAATATTAATAGTACCATATTTGGTATTATTTAATCGACCTAATATGGCAGTATTTTGCTTTTTATGTTTATCGTACAATTTTATTTCCATATATCAGGAAAAACTCAAAACAGATAATCTCAACTCTCATATAATTTTTCTTATATATTTTGGTTTACTTGTATTTGGTTTTAAGTAATACATGTATCTGAATGGTATTAATACAGAGTGTCTTCACATACACTTACTTCAAAGTAGTTATTTACATACATGTATTGTGTGCTATGCTCAAATCTTTTTATATTCTCATGTCCCATACACGTCATGTATATGCCATTTTTAAGATTCAATCATGTCCAGGGATAGGGCAGTATAGAAAGATGAGAGCATGGCACCATTTACAATCTGAGCATATCTTAGAAAATGTATTCATTGTTTGTGCCAAAGCACCTCTCAAAGCTGAGATAAAAGACCTACATGTACTATATTGGTATTTCAAATTATGTCTTAATTGGTGTTTCAAATTATGCCAATATGAACCTAAGATAATGCCAATATGAATCTTCAATGATGCCAATCAGAACTACTTGTGGGTCTTAATGTAGATATTTTCATTTGTGGCAGTAATGATTTGCCACAACATTTTTGTGTGGCAATTTTTGATGACATAAAATCTAGAATTATGCCATACGTAACTTCCTTCGGTGCCAGAACATTTATGAAGTATACATTGGGTCAGCCTCTTAATATTGGTTGCTAGATTTATTTGACATTTCCATCATTTTTAGATTTTGGCGACTCAGTGCTAGTTCATCAGTTAAATATGATCTGATGATATATTACATGTATCTCTGGAAACCGTTTTTATTTTATCAAGGTACATTTAAAATACTCTGTATAATCGTAAACAGCTTCAAAATTTACATTTTTAAGAGAATAGCTCTCCATTATCTGGAGTATGACATTGATCTGAATTCGAAAAAAGATCTGAATTATTTATAAAAATTGTCTACAGAAATGTATATGCCATTTAGGTGATGGTTTGTGAAATGCACCTTCAGTTTAACACAAAGCCACAAAAATTACTCAATTAGCTAATTGGCCATATTTTTCGGCTCTGCATTAATCTGTGTTTAATGCCACATTGTATAACATCTTTTCAGTGTATATTAATATTGTTATGTACCAAAGGAAAAAATTGATATATTCTCATGATTTAGACAATTTCACATATTTCTGTAAAAATGGCTTTATTCATTTTGTAAACATTGGAGATTATTATGAGGGTTTGCAAAGATAAGCATATAGTCCCATTTAAATAAACGATCATTTATATTCTCAAAGATTTTAAATTCTTTAATTCTCATTTTTGCATAACAAGAATATGTTTTAGAAAAGTACAGCCATATTACTACTAGAAGATAATAAAAATGATACTAATTATTTCAGATAAAGATGATTGAACTGTTTATTATTGATTTAAGGGAATATATTTTGCCAATGTGATTTTAGGGTGTATAATTGTCATATGCACCTGGTAGCAGGAATTGTGTATACTCAGTGGATAATAATAGTATCTATGGTTATTTGTGCTGTACTGTATCTTATGAAGAGTAATCTAAATATAGTTGGACTATGTTTATGGTAAAAAGTAAAATTAATAGTTTGTTTTTGCATATTGTGAGAGGACTCCATACCCCCCCCCCCCCCCCCCACCTAGACACATACCCTGAATCTCATTGTTTCATCACACTAGACTCTGATTTTAACAGAGGATCTTAAGTTTTGATGCAGATAAGATCTTAACGATCCGAAATGGACCTTTCACGTCATTATAGGCGAATTGATGTCAGAAATGAAGTGTGATTTCTAAGTATGTTCGGATTGAATATAGGCTACAAGAAAATCTCTAATTTTAAGAGTGGACAATAGGCATTATGAAGACATTCTCTTGCAAAGGGTAACTGTTCTGTCTTGTGAATGACTTTCTGGAGAACAATTTTCTATGGGCACAATTTTAGACATAAACCAAATTTTCCTACTGACAAGCATATAATGCAACCCTTACATAAAATAGTTATGTATGAGTAAAGTCTGTTCCTTATTCCTCGAGTCTGGTTGATAATTATTCAACATTTAGTAAATGCATGACATAAGTATCACCCAGCAAGGTTATATTCCCAGAGTTACATTGCGTTGTTAAAAGGCATTTTGACTAAAAGCTTCATAATGAAGGATTTAGAGCCTGTGTGTATCACCTCAAAAATCATTTGTTTCAAAGCTTTTTTGTTGCAAAGCATAGATCAAACAGGACTAAACTATTTATACAACAGTAAAGGTAGAGTGCATTGTATTCAAGTTAAAGCATTTCTCCATAGTGACAACTAATGACATAAAATACACATTTTCTATTCTGATCTACCAGAGCCTCATAGATCCCAGTTGTTTCAATTTCGAATACTAGCGACATCTTTCAATGAACAAAAGTATTTTTGACCAATTCATGAACAGCTTTGGAAAGCTAACTCGTTGAAAACTATAAACTACTTATATACTGTCAATTGACCATTGAAAATTGTTCTGCTCTACGATTCAAACAGGTGTTCAGCTTTACAAGTTTCCCTTTATATTATTTCTAAATGCTATGGATTTTTCTTTGTTAATTCTTCATCCATATGCTCCATATGGAGAATGTCATCTGTAAGTCCATTACCTGCTAGAATATGTTCCAAATTAGCTCTATACAGTGTCAAATCTTTCATGAAACTAGGAATACGTGTATTATTCAACTCTGTCAGGTGTTTAACATTGTCTATGTCATTGTATGAGATCTTCCCAAGCTGAAGCAACAGATGGAAATTGATGTATTCTCGGTCTCTAAGTATCAATAAAGCACCTTCTAAATAGACTTGGTCTTTGGAGAAACATCCTGAAATGAAAAACAAAAGTTTATCTTAGACAGTATTTGGAACAATTTACCCTGCATTTTGTATAATTCACCCTGCATTTGGTATAATTTACCCTGCATTTGGAACAATTTACCCTCAATTTTGTATAATTTACCCTGCACTGACAATTTACCCTGCATTTGGAACAATTTACCCTGCATTTGGTATAATTTTACCTGCATTTTGTATAATATATCCTGCATTTGCCATTTTGTTAAATCTACCCTGTATTTCGTACAATTTACCCAGCATCTTCATCAGCCCCCTTCTGTCCTTTAACTAATTGAATTTTACAGTTTTATTACCAGTAAGATCTTAAGATCTCAAATGTACCTTTAATTGGAATTTCCTAAAAAATCACACTCCTACATGTTCAATTTAGGCAGTGAAGACTACTAAATGGACTAGATATTCATTTCTCACCTGGTATTGATGTGTCAGTTATCCCTCTTTTGACCCTGAGGCAATAATCCCATCTAGCGAGGGGATCTGTCATAAATTTCCCTAAATCTTTAAACAACTGGCTAAATGACAACTTGGCAGCTTTATAGGTGGCGTAATACAAGATTGCAGCTCGCCATAGTACCGGATGTTGCCTAAAGAGGACACTGTGCAATGATGCAAGGCCCTCTTCTGTTGGGTTGACTGGTTCCATGTTAAGATCTTTCCGTCGTTTCCAGTCCCTCCATGGATGTTGCAGGTTGTTATAGCTACGCAGATAGTGAGTGCCTGGAGGAATTTTGCAACAAAACATCAAAGAAGGAAATTAAAGAATATTGTAATGCGATCAGTTCTGGTTGGGTAATATGATGAGATTCATCAAACTACTAAAGTATGATTATTATTGATTATGTAACACATATAATGGTACATCAGGATTAATTGAGAATGCGATCTTTACAAAAGCAGACGAATATTTCCCTTACATCATAATTTATTTTTCTATGGAAGGATTGCCATGATTGTGTTTTGGTAGAATGGTTGTACTTGTGTCTTTATAAATATTGGCCAAGGATAGTGTATTTACTGAATGGTTTTGCAATGATTTCATTTTTAGAAAATAGCTAGAATGGTTGTACCATGATTGTAATAGAATGGTTGTGCCTTGATTGTGTTTTCATCGAATGGTTGTGCCTTGATTGTGTTTTCATACAATGTTTTCTTCATGTACATGACTATAAGCTAATCAAGATACTCACCTATTTCATGCTTCAATAATCCGGACATCCACTCATCTCTCACACCATGTGCCCTTATGTTTAAGATCCCCTGACCTTTGACCTTTACCATCATTGCCCTCGCGACCAGATCTTCCGATAATTTCACCTGGATTTCATTTTCCATATTTTCATCTTTAATATATTGTCTGGCAGCCCGGTAGATCTCATGTTTCCTGAGGGTCCTCCCGCCAGAGTAATCTTCAACTGCTTTGTAACTCCCATAGATCTTGATAGCATGCTTGAGGATGTGAATGGCCTAAAAATAATTTTTGATGGCAAAAATTATAATTCATGTGTTATTTTTGCCACAAAGACATGTATACAATTAACCATCTCCGCACCAAGTGACATCTTTATAATCACATGTATTGGAAAATACCATAGTTGTGCATATTCTATCATAAACTTACAGATTTCTACAAGTCATGATTTTACCTTTCTCTATTGAAAATATTTTTCTACTTATAACGATTATTTCTACCTTGAAAAATGAACTCACCTGGAAATGAACTTTCCTGAAAAGTAAACCTCCCTAAAAAATGAGCCTATCTGAAAAAAAGAACTTACCTGAAAAGTAAACCTCCCTGAAAAATGAGCCTATCTGAAAAATGAACTTACCTGAAAAATGAACTTACCTGGGAAATGAAATTACCTGAAAAATGAACCTACCTGAAAAATGAATTTACCTGGGAAATGAAATTACCTGAAAAATGAACTTACCTGTAAAATGAACCTGCCTGAAAAATGAACTTACCTGAAAATTGAACTTACCTGAACCTATCTGGAATATGAACTTACCTGAAATATAAACCTATCCGATGCTTTGCTGAATTTATGCTTCGCAGATCGTCTAATTGGATATCTGTAAACAAATTGTGGCTCATACTCAAAGTTCTGTGATTGCAAGAACCTTAATTTCTCAATTTCCAAGTTGGCAGGCTTCAAAGAGTTAAGCAATGATACTGATCGTTTCTTTTTTAACTCTGATTGTGTTTCAGGGTGAAACATTGCTGTAGTTGCAGGCCTTTGTTTAACCCTCGGAAGGTTGATTGCGCTCTGATTGTTTTTAGGTTGTGCCCCATTGTGCTTTGAACCTGTTGGAGCACTTTTGGTTGTCCTTTTTGATTGTGCCGTTGAGATATTATCTAAAGGAGTTATAGTAACATTCAGATTTGAAGTTTTAGTGCCATTTTTATTGCCTCTTGGAGATTTAGTAGAATGAGTTTGCTTTGTGGATTTCTTTTTCCTTTTGGTCGCTATAACTTTGCAATGTGTTGTCTTTTCTCTTTTGAGCAGACTTGGTAATAAGTCATGTTTAAGTGGCATTGTCAATCCAGCTAGTCCTCATCTCAAATATATCCATTTTCATAATCCACAACCATTATGGGGTTTCCTCCCATAGTGCTATAGGTTTCAGTTGATACCAGTTCATTTGTAAATACATGTATTCCAAGAAGTATATTTTATAATCCATTAATAAATCAAGTAAGTTTTGTCACATTTCAAAACAAATAAAATATAAAAGAATGTGCTAAAATATATATGAAAAAGACTCTGCTAAACTTGGCTATAACAACGTGAACAAGCACCAACTGTTCATGGTGATAATGCAAAATACTATTAATCTGTTAATCTGATAATCTGGTTAATCTAATGCTAATCCATTCTGACTTTTGTGTTACTGTATAAGATCAAACACATAATAAATGGGATTGATCAACTGGACCAGCTACTTATATAAAGGTATAATGGGATCCCGCACAAAATTGGAAATTATTGGTCCAGGAAAACTCACAATGTAATACTCCAATAGGAATTCATAAATAAATAACAAGATTGATATTTCTTCATTCATATTTTATTCCTTCTTCTATTCACTTAAAATGCTATTATAATGTAATAATATACAATTAATCAAAAACTTAGCCTCTACTTTTGAATTTATATTGCAAATGAGAAAATACAATGAGCCATAATACTCCTGTACAATTACAAATAGAAATTGAGCCAATTTATAATTTTAATATAATTTTTTAATGTGAGTGTCGTCTCCAAACCTTTTCAAAACAGTGAAGTTAAAAAACTTAATATCAGTCAAAAAATTGATCCATAACGAAATTAGACTGTAAATACTGTAGTCATTTTACTTAGTCTAATGAGGTCATGGTAGACTATACTATTTAGTCTGAATATATTCAGTCTATTAAGCCACCTATATAAAGTTTGGTAATTCTAAATATTTGTTTACATAGGAAGTGCTATTCATAATGGCTGATTGGGTAAAATTAATTTGCACATTTGTTACTTCAACTTTAGCTTTATTTCTGCATGACAATATGCTGTGTTACTTTTTATTGCATTTAATTGTACCTTATCACTTAATTGAATTTTTGTAATGTTTATTTTATTGAAGAAATGGTTCCTCTAATTGAGTCAGTCTGTTGAATACATACTAGAGGTTTGTTTAACAAGTAGTGCAGAGGGGCCATTCGACAATCATGGACAAGTGTCAAAATATATTTAAATTTGGATATTTTATCAAGACTAACATCTATTTTTATTTTCTACAAAGAAACCCCCTAGATAATCATTATTTCAGCTCATATTCCTCTTGAAACATGGTGGATCTTAAAAATATAAAAGTGGACGTCCCCTTTTTGAAGCTTTGAACTGAATTTACTCTTTTTAATACCGAAATTGATAGTTTATCCATACATTTTAAGAAAATAGGTATGTCGAAGAAGATGTTAAGCCAACTGTTGCCTTGATAGCTCAGAAAAAGTTAAAATTTTCCTATTTTCTCTCTACAAGCCTTATTGCCCCTTTAAACTAGAGGTCATGGCACAATCACTCATGCACAATCAATTATATGTAACAATAGTGTACATGAATTATTAAAGAATGAAGATTATTCTAATTACTTATACAGCAATGCATGCAATATCACAGCAATTTACAGCATAATTGGCAAGTAATTTGAATACTAATTATTATTAATACTGAAATCTGACATTCAACGGGAAAGACCATCTCTTAAAGCGGAATCCCAAGTGGGAATTCTGTTATAGCCTCGTTTTCATAATAAATATTGGGAAATAACCCGGAATTGAAGTATTGCGAAACTGCATAAAATTAACTTGTCTTTCGCAATTTATGATTGCATGGGATCACTCGGTGATCAGCTGTTGGCTAATGATGCAAGACTATGGTATTTATAGTAATACTACACGCGAGAGTTGCAGAATAAGCTGCAAAAGAACGGAAGAGAAACGTTTGAAATTTTGGACATATTCTTGCCTTTGGATTTCAAGTGCAATCGGATTTTGAAAAATTACATGACTTATCTGGAAGGCATGGCGAGATTGAAACGAAACTAATTGAACTGAAACAGTACGGACTGAAAAAAGTAGGTTGTATTTTGTTCTTGTTAGTTTAATAACTGAATATCAGGCCCTCGGTTAAGCCCTCATGTCTGTTTTCTAAGCTTCTTTCCATTCAGCTGATGATTAACTTGTAGCCTTGTATTGGGCCCATGATTTACCTTCTACGGCCTCATAAGTCCCAATTGAGATGCCGAAAACAGCCACTTATTTTTTAGATGCCCAAAATGTTTCCTACATTAGCCCTGTAAAGGACTCGATTTGTCATTATGAGATTTCAGATTTGAAATCAATCGATCAACTCTCAATTTGTCGTTATCAGATTTGAACGACAAATTGAGAGTCCTTTACAGGGCTAGTAGAACATACAGGCATCGATTATGTACAGCAAGTCAGATTCATAATTCCGACAACTTTGAATTTGAAAGATAAGCAATCAAAGGACCAACTGTTACTCACTTCGAGAGCCATGTTAGATTTTGAAACTTATGGCTCTCAAACGGAGAAGTGAACAGCTGATCAATAGTGACCTTTGAAACTGAATTAAGTCGATCCGCGGCTTACTTTTGGTCTCTAACTGTGTCTTACATCAGTATCATCAATCCATGTAAGTATTGGAGCGCTGGAGTACTTCTTTTTCGATCAAGACTTGTAAATTGTTCATCGAGTTAAAGTTTTACAGACCTATTTCCAATATGGCGGTTTGCTAGGTGCGAGATACGCAACGAACGAAATGAATTTTGAGAATTAGTTAGGTTCGGACAACCTCCGGAGATTTACGAAAATGTCCGAGCAGAAACCGCCATATTGGAATTTGGCAGTAAAACGATTCACTCGACCTAACAATTACAAGTCTTGATCGAAAAAGAAGTACTCCAGCGCTCCAATACTTACACGGATTGATGATACTGATGTAAGACACAGTTAGAGACCAAAAGTAAGCCGCGGATCTACTTAATTCGATTTCAAAGGTCACGATCACTGAGCTGTCCAAATGCTCCGTGGGAAAGCTATTATATCAAAATCCAAATAGCTTTCGCAGGAAGTAAACCAACTGAACATCAAATTGAGTTTGATCAATATTTTTGTATTGCTCTCAGATTCTTCTAAAGTGGTACATGTACTACTGCTTTTAGAAGCCTGCAAATATCAAGTGCATACCTCATTTAAAAAAAATATTTACACGAGTGTGAAACAACAGTCTAGAAAATTAAGAGTTTTTAGTTTAGCCAGCTGACAGTTACAGAGCCAGGGTCAATAAACCGAGCACATGACTATGGTCCTTGTGATAAAACTGAACTTTTAAGTCTATTGTGAAATTTAATAGCAGCGAAATTGTGTTTTCTCAAGATTCTGGAAATTATGAGATTCTATCCACAAAACATATGTGTTTGTTTTCTAGCTTTAAAAATTAAATCAGCTGAAGAAAAAATTATTTTATCACACATATTCATTTGGGACAGAGGCATTCCGTTTGCAACATGGATAAAATTTTAATTATAAATTAAAGCAAAAATGCTCATTTCCAATGCATTGTCATAGCCTTTAGTTGAGTCAACAGTCTATTTTTAAAGAGGGAGTACAGTATTCGAATGTTTATTGTGTTCTTTGACCTGTATAATACTGGTAGATTAATGAGATCAGCATGACTCAGCAAATAAAAATGTTGATTGAACTGGATTGAACTGGATAATCCGGTCAATAAATAAATATAATGACCTTGATAAACTTGCAATGTCATCTCAAAACCCAGTAATCTTGGTAAGTCTTGCATCATGCAATGGTTAGGAATAGTGAAGTCTTGCACCATATGCATCATGTATTGCAATTTTGGGCCTCTCTTACAATATATCATCATTTTCAAAATCTGAAGATAATGGGATATGGTTCATAAAGTTGTGTACCATAATATAAGAATTATCTTAGGTAAGCACTACCGCCTGAAAGACCCCCTCCCATTGCAGGCACTATATGTGCAGTATGTCCAGTTGTCCACCCTTCAATTATCTAAGTAAAGTCTAGGATGAAGACAATAATAACTCATCCAAGGTATAATGAGCTAACAGGGTGGGTATCACATACTGTAAAACGGGTAATGTTAGCGAGGGGTAATTTGTTAGCGATTGTTAGCGATCGCTATAGTTTCGCTAAAAATTCAATTCGCTAAAATAAACCGGGGTTAAAATAAACCGGGCGCTAAAATTTGCAAATTCCCGGGAAACTACATGAATACTAGTATTTAAGGAGCTTTTCGTTCAGTGCTCGACTTCCGGTTTGTAATTTGAAAAAGGTAAATATTTTTAAATCGTATGTATTTAAATGCTACCGTGATTTTGTGATTAGTCAGATGAGATTACAGTAGTTTGGACCAATACCATGTGCGTTAGAAGTCTTACATTTTGATAATTCCTCTGTCATGTCCGTTATTCATTCTTCTGCCATAAATGATAAAATTTCTAATGCATTTCGCTAATTTGATTTTTTAAAGATTAATCTTCATTTCGCTAAAATTTCCTGCATTAAAACCCCCTAAAATAGAAAAATCGCTAAAATTTTCCGGTGTCAAAATTACCCGTTTTACAGTATTATGATTTAATCATCTACGCTTGTTCAGGGTCTGTGTTCTAACAATACTTTTTCATGATGGACAAGTGGGTGCAAAAGTCAACAATTTTTTTAAAAGAATTCCATGTGGTGGGTGCAAAAGAATTTTCATGTGGGTGCAGGACAGCCTACTTGTCTCAGTGCTTGAGTTACTGGAGGTATTCAATCAAGGACCTTTATGCTAATCTGTGTGTTTAAACAAAAAGGGAAATGCATGTACAGGTACAAAAAACTTGTTATTGTGTTTACCATCTTTAAGTTTGAGAGTAAAGTAAATAGTGATCAGATGATGAGGTAGGTATCCTGCGCGCAGAGTCTAGTTATAAACTACCTGAAGACGAAGCTCTCTTTTAGAAGTGCAGTCAAACAAATGCAAAGGGTAATGATGAGGACTTGCTTTGTTGTAAAATCAGTAGCATTAACTTGTAACAGTTAGCAGATGTCATCATATCATAGGTAAAATTTTCTATGTTATATTCTTCACAGATTAGGTGGATTTATTATACCTACAATAAAGCTGAATTGAAAACTGGATTCTCTGATAATGACATGAATGATGTCTTCATTATATCATCGATTCATTATACCACTAATTTCAAAGTACTAGTACACCATGGACTTCTTATATACAAAGGAAAACATTACAGAGATTGCACCCAGCTTTTATTTAAATCAAGAGCATAGCCAGGATCTTACAATAGGTGGGGTAAATTTGAAATGATGAGGTTAATTTGAGTTTAAGGTAATCCAACTTACTATCATTAGATTTAAAAAATTTTAAAGTTCCAACAGAAAAAACGTAAAAAAAAATTCTTCAAATCCTAGGCAACAGCCTTAGTGACTCATGCTTTCCTGTGCCTATTTTAATAATTCATAATATTTATATATTATTTATTTGGAGTAGGTTTTATCAGTTGATTAACTGACAAACGCAGAGGATGACGTTATACCTATATTATTTTTTTGCTCTTGTCAAAGTATTCTATGGGCTTTTTGAAATCAATAAAAAACAGATTTACGGATGTGACATTATGTACATATATGTAATTAAGCAAGCAGCTAAGTGCCTATAAGTAGAAGACTAGGAACTGATTTATTACTTCAATTAAATGAGATTAAGACTTATCAGCAGGATATGCAAATGACAGAAGACTGAGGAAAATAGGCCTCAATTTTGTAAATAGGTCCAATTATTCTAAAAATAGGCCCAATTTTCAAAATAGGCTTTTAAGCTAGAAAGGTCTTTCATAATGTTCTGCCCCTAAGAAAGTAAGCAACATACAAGATTTGATTGTTCTTAGCAAAATTATTTAAACATATGGGACACCCTGTATATGTATCTGTAACAAAGATGATTTCTTCATTAAATTGGGTCAGTTATCTGATTTAGAATTAAGGGAATCACCTGCACCTTGTATGCAAGTAAATTATGGTGCTCCGGGTAGCGCGGGTTGAATTGCATTAATTTTAATTTTCCATTGTTTTGTTCAGGATAAACAGTCATACATCTACATATATGTACTTGACAAAACTTACAAAAATATATCATTGCAGGGTTTTATTTCACTAATAATAAGGTCTTAAAAACAAACAGATATCAAATTTCTATTGACATTCAGAGTTGTCATTGCTAGGCCTAAGGGGAATGTCAATGTTAATTAGGGATGTGTTTTTGACTGGTTAATTATACAAACTGAAGGCATTTGAATAAAAGCAGGTCACAATTTCTGTACATTTTCCTTTGTATATAAGAAGCCTATGTGTGATATAATGAAAATACATCATAATCAATATCCAGTATCAGAAAATCCAGTTTTCATTTCATAGGGGTAACAAAGAAAATAGGAAAATTTTTACTTTTTCTAAGCTCTCAAGGCAACATTTGGCTTAACATCTTTTTGACATACCTATTTTCTTAAAATGTACGGATACACTATCAATTTCAGCATTAAGAGGTGTAAATTCAGTTCAAAGCATCAAAAAGGGGAAATCCACTTTTATATTTTTAAGATCCACCATGTTTCAAGAGGAATATCAGCTGAAATAATGTTTATCTAGGGGGTTTCTTTGTAGATAGGCTAATAAAAATAGATGTAAGTCTTGATGAAATATCCAAACTTAAATATATTTTGACACTGGTCCATGATCGTTGAATGGCGTTTAAGTTATTTATCCACCAAATCTGTGAATAATGTGACATCATTTGAATCAACAGAAATTTTTTTACATTCATGCTTTCAAGGCATGATCCCTCATATATTTAACATCCGCCCATTCGGTCATAACATATGAGTCAATGAACCGATAAGGGAGGGGGGCCCAAATTTCAGTTCATAGAAAAAAACTTCCCCTAAAAACCTAAAACCCCAAAGTAGGCCCAAATTTTGAAATTTTGAGGCCTATTTTCTTCCAAATTTGGCCTGAAATTAAAAGTAAGGCCTTAAAAGGCCCAGTAATGACCAAATAGGCCCACTCTTTGGGGCCTTAAGGCCTTTTTTGGCCCAAATTTTTTTCTGGGCCCAATTTTTTATTTCTGGGCCTACCAAAGGAGGGGGGCCCTAGGCCCTAGGCCCCCCCCCAGATCCGCTAGTGGGAACTAACCAAAAGTGTTCAAGATTGGTAGGTGTTCACTATCAAAAAGTGGTCACATATTGTTATGGTTTCCGTTTTTTTGTGACAGCGGTTGGTAGTTGGCGGCTGTAACAAACTCTTCAATTTGTTTTTCAGAAGTTTTCAGAAGTTCAAATCTGACTTTAGATTAAGATTTGACCTTCATTGACCTTTTCAAGGTCAAAAAAAGGTTTATGATTGGCAGGTGGTGTCTGTAACAAATTCTTACAACTTCCAATAACATAACAAATACTGTTTAGACTGATAATTTTCTTTTCAAAATCATCTAATAAGTTTTCAGAAGTTCAAAGCTGATTTAAGATTTGACCTTGATTGACCTTTAGAAGGTCAAAAAAGGTCTTTTTTTAACTTGCTTCAAATTATTGATTAAATTTTTTCTTCAAAATCATCTACAAGTTCTCAGAAGTTCAAATCTGACTATAGATTTGAGATTTGACCTTCAATGACCTTCTCATGGTCATAATACGTCAAAAATGTACTTTTTTCGACTTGCCTGAAATTGGCTTAATTTTTTTCAAAATCATCCACACATTTTCAGAAATTCAAATCTGACTTTAGATTTGAGATTTGACCTGGTAAAAGGGTCTAAAAGGTCTTTAGGTTAAAAAAGGTCAGAAAGGTATTTTTCAACTTGCTTCAAATTGATTAAATTTTCTAGGTGGTGGTGACATTTTGTCATGTTAATGCCTTGTTTAACATGGAATCCTGTGAGAGTTTAGGTATTGGGACAAAAATCATTCACATTGAGAGATGTTCTGATTAGAGAGATGTTTGAAATATACAGGTTCTACTATCCCATGGGTATGCAGCCTAATGAGTATAATGTATTTCTGCAATTAGGCTAATAGGGGTGGGACTTGTGTTTCTAAAATTCAACCTTTATCTGATCTTTATGGTCAAGTTGCTCTTTGTTTTGCCACAAACTATCAGATGATGTGAACATGGAGTAATGTGAAATCTGAGAAAGTAATTATGCTCAGTACTAATATAGAAATAGAATGCCATTAGCAGTTTTTACATAGGCCTAGCAGACCTTAACCAATTGCAAGACCTGACTTGCCACCTATGAATTATAAAGAATTCTTTGATTTTGATAATTCCACTAAATCATGTAATTTCGATTTCCTGCCTTTTAATATAAGTAGGTATCATTCATTACATATTCATGCTCCAAAATGATTATAAAGAAGGCTATCAAAATTATAAAATCATATGTAATATTAAGAGGGTAGTAATACGAGCTGATGAGGTCAAAGGGTATTGACAAGACATAGGCCTCAAGAAAATTACATACTATATAATGAATTTACAACCAGGCATTAATTATTTCCTTTTACCACGTCATGTTCTGTCTTCTCTGCTCCGTATCATGTGTTAATTGCCTAGTTATGTAGAACTGTAAATGACAAGTAATTTCTATGTATTTGCAGATTGTAGAAAATGTCGGATCATGTGAGTAGTGAGAAAAGTGTGGGTATGGCCCCAGAATCCAAATCACCTGCTGACCAATCACAGCCTAGATCTACTAGGATAAGGTGTGAGAGTGTTAGCGAAGAACAGCATGCAAAGGAGCATGGGATAGCTGTATCTCCTTTAGTATCTGGTATACCAATGTCACCTCTTATATCTCGGATGCGCTCTAGTAGTATGACTAAAGCAGAGACTAGCCCTGGAACAGGCCAACATACATCTAGTAAACCAATCGATATAAACAGGACACAAAGTATGAAGGATCACAATTCTGGGTCCCCTGGTCCTGCACAGAGGCCGAGGACCATAAATCTGGGAGGAAAACATCCTCCTAGTAAGCACAAATCACATCAGACTCCGGCTTCAACACTGGACTCCCCGAAAACACCTCGAGTGACCCACATAGGCCTGGACAGTGTCAGAATGGTGAAAGATGCAGTGTTGTCCCGTATTAGAACCTACAGTGAAAAATCAGTGAATGTGCCATCAGAGTACTCCCTGGATGATGATAACACTGGTAATTCTATTGGGAGCAGTTATGGTTCGGTGCATCAGACTCCCAGCCAGGGATCGGGGCAGATTGAAGGCAAAGTCGATGCTCTGGAAGGCTTGTCTATGTGTGATACAATGAGTGCATTCAGCTGCCAGAGTCTCACCAATATCCCTGAATCTCTCCGCAGACAACTTTCTATGAGGTAAGAGGCAACTTTTTATGAGGTTAGAAGCAACTTTCTATGAGGTAAGAGACAGCTTTCTATGAGGTAAGAGGCAACTTTTTATGAGGTTAGAGGCAACTTTCTATGAGGTAAGAGACAACTTTCTATGAGGTAAGAGACAACTTTCTCTGAGGTAAGAGGCAACTTTCTATGAGGTAAGAGGCAACTTTTTATGAGATTAGAAGCAACCTTTTATGATGTAAGAGGCAACTTTCTATGAGGTAAGAGGCAACTTTCTATGAGATAAGGGGCAACTCTCTATGAGGTAAGAGGCAACTTTTTATGAGGTTAGAGGCAACTTTCTATGAGGTAAGAGGCAACTTTTTATGAGGTTAGATCATATTTGGTTAGAGGTAACTTTCCATGAGGTGAGGGTATGAGGCAGGCGAGGCAACATTTTGGCATACTTAAGCTCTCATTGGCTTTCTTTGCAAATACATGTTCCTTGGACAACTGTAGATGGTCTAATTAGGGCTTGCCTATTTGAAATTCTATCTACAGCATTGTTATGCAATAAGTATGCATAGTTATTATTGTGAACATTAATTTTCCTTATGTAATACAGTAGAATACCTACATTATTAATTATCTGTATTATCACATATTCTTAGGGGGTTATTAATAATAGGGGTGCAGCTGAAAAATGTCATACATAAGATGGCCTCATACTGACTCAGACTTCATTTACAAAAAATAGATTTCAGATTCAACACTTTTTTTAAAATGTAAATATTGTTTTAATTCACCAGATCAATTTTGCTCTCAATCCCCCCAAAAAATCAATTACTTTTGTGACATACTGTACTCCGGGTAATGTTCGAGTGCGATTTAATTTCGCTTTGTTCGCGAATGTAGTAAAATCGCGAACATTTATCGTCGCGAAATTTGTCTTAAATCCCCGGGGATTTGACCCGGGCCTTTTGATATGTTTTGTTGGGTGTGAAACGTTTCATCCAGTGTTGTTGGGCGAAGGCCTAAAAACATTTTGAATTGGCTTATTAGGCCAACAAAGGCAAGAACTGTTGACGACAATGATATCCTACAAATTGAAGTTGAAAAAGCCATTCAAGAATATTGAAATAAATGCCCTAAACGTGGGAAATACAAACATTATTCGGATTCTGAACAGGCTAAAATAGCCCGCAATGATTCACGGTAATCGGAAAAAAATTCAACCTGTGCAATCTGCGAAATGTCATCAACTCAAATCCGCGAAATTAAATTGCAATTTTGAAAAATCGCGAAATTTTATAGCGTCGAAATTTACCCGGAGTACAGTAGTTTTGTTCCAACTATTTTTGTGCGTGGACAGTGTGAAACGTTTCATTTTCATTACAATTATCTCACAAGACACCATATAGGGCGTATACGTGTGGTAGTATAATGTAACTTGATATTGGAGGTAGGAACAGCTCCCCCTAATACATCATACGTTATACATGCATCAATAATTTGATTTTGTAGTTCTATATTATTAAATATTTTCAAAAGCCATTTAACATGTTTAATTAATTGCTACTTATTGAATTTTTGTTTTCCAAGTTGAATTTTTCTGGGTGCAAAACCAGACATGGGCCTACATTTGGTTAGGTTTTGGATATGTGATATATGATACTATTGTGCAATGTGTCTTGTTTTGTAATCAATATTATTATAAGTCATATTGTTAAATGTTCCAGGTCTGGTAATGCGGAAATCCTGAAACAGATCCATCAAAATGATACAATTACAAAAGCAAGTTATACAAGTGGAATCGACGTTGTCCCTGAATTAGAGGCAGATGCTTTTGAGAACCAGGCATATTTGGACTCCATTGCGAGCCAAGCAAGCTCTAAGCCATTGCTACGCAAGTTAAACTCAATGGTTGACAAACCAGGGGTTGACCAATCGACCTTGGATGACCCGAATAACTGGACACAAAGTTTACCTGATTTAGAGAATTCAGCCTATGTTGATTCTATACAGAGTACTAGCAGTGGAAAGGCACTTTTAGCTCGCACGGGGGTTGCACTGAGTCTTGATGGGATATCACGCTGGATCCCACCCGTGAATGTTATCACGAGGGAGACGTATGTACGACAAGATAGCACACTACCGGAAAAACAACGCTACTTGAAAAATCTAGTTGTCATAAGCTGTAGTCAGATGTTTATATACACAGCGTTCTCATCTCTTCGGAATCTCCAAAGTAGCATCAATCATGAAGGTGGTTTAGGACTGACATCATTGGCGTGTCTCTATGCCTGTTTCTTCATGGGATGTATATTCGCTACAGCTATCGTTCAAAGACTTATGCCTAAAACGACAATCATTTTAACAGTTGTTGCAAACATTATATACTCATGTGCCAATTTTTATCCAAGCTATTACACGCTATTACCTGCGTCATGTATTTTGGGGTTCTTCTTGGCCAATATGTGGACAGCAAGTGGCTCGTACATTTTGACAATCGCAACAAGTTATGCTTCATTAAGTGGCAAGAGCCTCCCCAATGTACTGACTAGATTTAACGGGATATTTTTCCTGTTTTTTCAAAATTCTCAAATAATTGGAGGGCTCATTGCATCTACTGTTATGGGAAACAATAAAGCCATTACAGATGAATATATCTTGGTTGGCAGTGGCAACAGCACAAACAATACTGGTTTCTATGGTAACTCCAGCCGTGTTCACGGTGATGACCTTCAGCTTATGAACCCTAAGAATCTTTGTGGTTCTAAATACTGTCATGATAAAGCAATCGACACAGCTCGTGTTGCTATGGCACCACACACACTCTACATGTTGCTTGGTATTTACATTGGATGTGGTCTCCTAGCGTTGTTTCTCACAGCAGTATTTCTCGATCGCTTGAGTGATATATTCACGAGGACTGATACTACTATTAAGCAACAAATTGGTGCCGTATTCAAGTTCTTTGGACGCAAGAAAGCTCTTCTTCTGATGCCTATGATGTTCTATACTCTACTACAGTTCTCATTCTTCTATGGGGAGGTCACTAAGGTCAGTAATCTGTTTAATACTTCCATTGTGCTTATTTAATAGTTTCATGTACCAGGTATTTTTTTATAGTACCTGTAGAATGGAATGCTTCTGTAAGTGGAACAATTGAGAATCCCACCTATTATCTTAAAATGTTAAATGAACCTCAGTAAGTGGAACAATTGAGAATCCCACCTATTATCTCAAAATGTTAAATGAACCTCTGTAAGTGGAACAATTGAGAATCCCACCTATTATCTTAAAATGTTAAATGAACCTCAGTAAGTGGAACAATTGAGAATCCCACCTATTATCTCAAAATGTTAAATGAACCTCTGTAAGTGGAACAATTGAGAATCCCACCTATTATCTTAAAATGTTAAATGAACCTCAGTAAGTGGAACAATTGAGAATCCCAACTATTATCTCAAAATGTTAAATGAACCTCTGTAAGTGGAACAATTGAGAATCCCACCTATTATCTTAAAATGTTAAATGAACCTCAGTAAGTGGAACAATTGAGAATCCCACCTATTATCTTAAAATGTTAAATGAACCTCAGTAAGTGGAACAATTGAGAATCCCACCTATTATCTCAAAATGTTAAATGAACCTCTGTAAGTGGAACAATTGAGAATCCCACCTATTATCTTAAAATGTTAAATGAACCTCAGTAAGTGGAACAATTGAGAATCCCACCTATTATCTTAAAATGTTAAATGAACCTCTGTAAGTGGAACAATTGAGAATCCCAACTATTATCTTAAAATGTTAAATGAACCTCTGTAAGTGGAACACCACTTAAGTGGAATACTTTTTAGAGGTTCTACACATATTCCATTTACACAGGTTTTACTATACTCTCTATTTGAAATACCCTTTTCATTACCTTGATTTAACATCTGGGTCCCAGTCTCGGGGAATCAATGGTCATTGATTCAACTTGAAAAAATATCTTTGCCAAGATTATAATGCAAATCAGATGACACTGTCTCATGTTATTAAGTCTCCTTGACAGTGGCAACTACAGCTAGAGTTGTGTCCTACATTGTTTCAGTGTTTCAACTTAATATTAGTACACTTAAATGTCAGTGGTCTCCCCAAAGAGAACATACTTATTGGTCAGTATAATCTGAGTTACTCTGGAAGGATATAGTGAAAAATTGTTGATTTACCAGATTGATAAGCTGAAGAAATAATGGGCTTCATTTTGTTATTGCATTACAAGGCCTCATTATTGCATCATGAAACGTTGTTATTGCATTGCAAGGCCTTATTATTGCATCATGAAACTGCATTACAAGGCCTAATTGTTTCATCACCAAACCTTGTTACATCAAATGGCCTCATTGAAATCATAAGAATAACCATCATTAACCAACAAATGAGAAAACAGATTTTACAAGTTCAATTTTTATATTTTAGGCATTTGTGACGTGTCCACTAGGGGTCCATATGGTTGGCTACTTCATGACAGTCTTTGCCTCCATGGCCTCCATCAGTGCATATATCTCTGGTAAACTCTCCAGATACACAGGCAGACTGCCAATGTTTGCCCTTGGTAAGTTCAACATAGTGTTACAGTCTTTTGACTCACCCCCTCTTTATTTCAACCCCAGGTGAGCTGTGTCAGCGGGTGTGGGGGATCACAAGGGTTTGAATTAAGATTAAATCAGTAATTGAACAGTAAATCAGATTTTCTCAAATTACAATAACGTCATTTCAAAGGGCAATATTTCACTAATTTGCCCGCAGAAATGACTTTATTAGTATGTATTACCACCATTCACCTATCATAATTGGCCCGCCACTATGATGTCACATATTGCTCAGTTCAATATAGTAAAATAAATGCCTTCTAAACTTGTACTAATACCCCTAGAACAGGCCTGGCAAGGTGGTGATAATAAGGCTTATTACTGTAGATTGGGTTAATTTGGCGCTACTTAATTTGGCGAATTTACCATTTTTGGCATATTGGCGGCTATTTAATTTGGCGGATATGCAAAAAGTGTTAATGGAATGTTAAACTTACGCGCTGTTTGCGAATTACCATGTAAATGGGCATGTTTGGCTAAAATGTTCATTTTTTCTTTTGAGGACCACTGGCGATATTCACCACGTTTGTACATTTTTGTGAGATCATCCTTTACATTTTACACCTCAATCGATGCTGCTACTTTTCCCTGAGTATTAATGAGTGACTGACCAGTTCTGAGCCAATTTATGAGAGACATTTTTTCATATTTTTGGAAAAAATAAACCGGAAGTGACCTAAATACACTGGACGAAATACCCTAGATGATTCCCGGGGATTCATTCTAAATTTTGGCGGAGATTTATATTGGCGAATTTTTCAATTTCGCCAAATTAAAGCGGGCGCCAAATTAACCCAATCTACAGTACTCGACTGAGCTATTTGACTCATTCCATAATGACAAAGCACAAAGGGCAACATTTGAAAACAAATCAGATTCATTCGTTAAAAGTCATGAGTATAATGTAGTACAAGTATAAAAAGTACTTGACATTGTGATTAAAATTTCTGACAGCTGATGATTGAGAAAATTATTGTTTATAAAATTAATCCCTGTATTACTATAGATTATTGGTGAAGAGTGTCTCTCTAAGAATATTTACTTGACAGATCTTTAATTAAATCTATGTTGTGCTTTTAAGCTGCCTTGGTGCATGTTTGTTTGATGGTGCTTATGTTACTATGGCAACCAAGATCTGGCTCCATGGCAATGATATTCATGATCGCAGCGATTTGGGGCTCAGTGGAAGGAATATGGCAGACACAATTACAAAGTAAGATCTTAATGTTCATAATTTTAAAGATTGCAAAATTGCATGGATGAAAGTCGGCTATTATTTTCACTGCATGAGTGAATCCAAGGGAACTGGGTACTTATGCTTATTTTAAAGTGGTCGATAAATAAAACTAAAAATTGTAACCACACAGGCAACACATGACATGGCAATTTTTATTTAGAAGATCTTGATTAAGGTATTATTAGACATTGTTTCTTCACATGTTAGATGATAGTTTGGGATATTTGGGGTTTGCTTTCCGTAGGACTGGTTGTAGGCTAGTATATTTTCTTTCTGTTTTTTAAACCCTTTGGACTTGTGGATATGTATTTAATTGGATTAACGTGGAAATTTCTATCTGATTTCAGGTTTCCTAGGATTGTTATTTGCAAGACAAAAGGAGAGTGCCTTTGCTGGTTGCAAGATGATGCAGTCGCTTGCATCGACCATCTCATTTATGTATGCTCCTTATACATGCACCGCTACCAAGATATACATAGTCCTGGCCATATTGGCTCTGGCAATGGCCCTGTACTGTGTATTGGAACTTCATTTGAGAGCTGAGAAAAGGGCTGAAAATGAGAAAGATACTGTAGAGCAGAAGAAAGCTGCCTTAGTGTAGAAATACATATTCCTGGCCATGTTGATTGTGTCCGTGGCCCTGTACTTTGTATTGGAACTTCATTTGAGTGCTGAGAAAAGAGCAGATAATGAGAAAGATACTGTCTGACTGTAGAGCAGAAGAAAGCTGCCTTAGTGTAGAAATACATATTCCTGGCCATGTTGGTTGTGTCAGTGTCTCTGTACCTTGGATTGGAACTTGAATAAGGGCTGGCTGAGAAAAGGACAAAACGAGATGATACAATATACATCAGCTGCCTTGGTGGAGAAATACTTGGTCCTATGTAGGCCTATATTCATCACAGCGCATATGTGCTGAACATGTTTCCCAAATGTACAGAGAGTGGGTCTTGGCATTCAGAATTAATATTTAAATTCACAGCCAAATGTGTTGCTGTCTAGTTGTAATTATTGCAGTGCACACTGGAGTGTATCAAAGTGTAAACCAAAGTTATTACCTGAGGCCCAGGAATAAGTTTAAAAATGTTTAAAATGTCCGCTAGTGTACTGAGATGTTAATGCGTGGTGTACTGATTTTTATAAGCTTAATGGATAAAAATTCTTTTTATCAATGACAGGATACCAGGGCCTCAGGTTATTACAGTATCGTAGTGTGCATCAAAGTTATTATAGTGTATACTGTAGTGTATCATAGTGTGCACCAAAGTTATTATAGTGTACACTGAAGTATATATAGTGTGCACCAAAGTTATTGTAGTGTATACTGTATTTTATTGTAGTGTACACTGGTTTAGGCATCAGGGAGTGAAGAAGACATACATGTGTCAGAGAAACTGACTCTGCATGTTGTATTTTAGTAGTCAGTGTTTCAATGAGAGGCTGGATGTTCAACATTCCATTGTATTTTGAGGATATATTTTGCACAATGCACATATATTAGTAACTGCTGGGCCTTATGTATGCAGTGGACATTTTACTAAATTTAAGTCAAATCATTGTTAGTCATATCATGGTGCAGTAAGATTCAGGTCACAATCAAATCATAATGCAGTCAGATCATGGTGCATTCTTATCATGCTGCAGTCAGATCATGGTGTATTCAGATCATGGTGTATTCTGATCATGGTGCAGTCAGATCATGGTGCATTCTTATCATGGTGCATTCTGATCATGTTGCAGTCAGATCATGGTGTATTCTGATCATGGTGTATTCTGATCATGCTGCAGTCAGATCATGGTGTAGTCAGATCATGGTGCATTCTTATCATGGTGCATTCTGATCATGTTGCAGTCAGATCATGGTGCATTCTGATCATGGTGTATTCTGATCATGCTGCAGTCAGATCATGGTGCATTATCCTGATCATGGTGCAGTCAGATCATGGTGCATTCTGATCATGGTGTATTCTGATCATGCTGCAGTCAGATCATGGTGTATTCTGATCATGGTGCAGTCAGATCATGGTGCATTCTTATCATGGTGCATTCTGATCATGGTGCAGTCAGATCATGGTGCATTCTTATCATGGTGTATTCTGATCATGGTGCAGTCAGGTTCAGGTCACAGTGAAGAATTATATCAACATATTAATACATTCTATAAACCAAATAATAGAGTTAATTTGTCATTCACATGTGAATGTTAAAAAGGCATACTAAAATATTATTTATTTGATATTGAAAGTGGCTCATAGAAACCAGAAAGAGAAACTGTTCCTGTTTTATTATGAATATTGATATTATGATTCATTTTCTCAAACATTAGTACATGCATTTATTTTGAGAATTCGGACAACAAATAATGGTAGAGAAGTTAACAATGAATGAGCACAATCAAATTTTAGCTGCTATCTTTTAATTGATATACATGTACAAGATGTTATGATGTGTGGTATTTATTGTTTTATTTGCATGTTGTTTGTTTGTGTGCTCTTTTGCCTCTAAAATGTTACTTTATCTCGTTATTCAGGTATACATTTATTTTTATGAATGCTTGATCTGATAAAGGGCAGTTCCACTGCCTTATGACATAGCTATGTGTTCCTTTCTAATTTACATTTATATAGCTATATACAGTGTACTGTTAAGTTCCACTGCCTTATGACATAGCTTTGTGTTCCTTTCTAATTTACATTTATACAGATATATAGAGTGTACTGTTAAGTAATTTATATTGTTTATTTGTAAAATATATATATATATACAATGTATTAAAATATTTATTGTACTAGACTTTAAACCATGTTATTTCTGTGTATCATTTGAGGTCTGCTACTTGGCAGGCTTGGTCTTTGCATTCATTTGTCACTCTGGAGACCAATGAACTAAGACGTCTGAATCATGATTTAAATAGATCTGACTCAAAAAGTGGTGGTTACTATGACAATCAGATTTTGTTGTCAATAAGTAAGGTTCATACTCAAAGAAATAAATTATTCTGTCAAGCAGATTTCTTTTATCCAAGTGACAAACAACATATTTAGTTTATTTATGATTCAAAAATAAATATGCTCACAATATTATTGTTGTATAAAATATATAATAATTATATAATATATTCAAACATGACCGTGCTCTATTCGAATTTCTCAACCAATCAGAATGCAGCATAGCCAATATAGAACGTTCTCTAATTCTCCATAGATGCACGACCATGCTCTATTCAATCTGCAATTTGCATTGTTTTGAGTGACGTCACATCTCAGCTGCACATCTGGGGCTCTGTCCGGGACTCCGACTTCAGAATCTTGACAGCATGCGTATTCTTCCTTCATGCCCGTTCCACAGACACGGCTTTTACTAATTTTTATGTTTGAATCGGAATAAATAATGATAGGCCATTCAATATGGTGAAATTCAGCACTCGTTGGACAGAATGTTAGTACAAATGCACTCACCTTCGGTTCGTGCTTTGTACAACATTCTGTCCAACTCGTGCTGAATTTCACCATATTGAATGGCCTATCATTATTTATTCCTTAACCATATATTGAATAAATGAAAATAAATTGACATTGTTTAAGTTTTGTAATATTTAAAGCATTCTTTACATTTAACACACAACAGACTGCTTTTCCCACACCCAATGTATCAAACCCTAAAATATCCCCAATGAATGAGGTGGTATTATCACGGTGTTATAGCATGACAGATACGACAAGGCAATTGGCCAAATTTTGCGGTAACGATAACAAAAAATGGCGGACGGGAAAGAAAGCATGTCCTCTTTTTCGCCTGTAGGCAAGATTCACAGGTAAGTTTTCCTTTTCAACTAGTTCCATTTGGTGATGCATATGTGAATGGTTATAAAGATTGAGTTAAATCTGTCGTGTGGTCTACAAGAAGCAGAATATAAGCTGTAAACCTACCCGGCTGAGATTTCGAAGTTCATAATTTTTAGTCCTTTTTCGTGTTTTCTCAGTATATGTGCCTCAGAGCCCCTCACAATACTAACTCTACGTAAACTGTGTATAAACAAGCCATAAAATGACAAATGCAGAACGGAAATGTGGTGAATATTGTAGATAATAAGGTTTCAATCGCAAGGTCGTTAGACAGATACGTATGTATTGCATGATTTTTTATGGACAGCAACGCATTGTATTAGTTTTACATTAGATGTTAGCGGACGGTTACATGCAAGTTCCTGTCAAGTCATAATAGCGGGCAAAATAGTGAAATATTGGACCTTGGGCCTGCGGCCCTTGGTCCAATATTTCACTATATTGCCCTTTGAAATTACGTTATTACTATTATTACCACCGTTAATGCCCAGGGCTGAAATAGCAAATTTGAAATAGAAAATCTAACGCACTGAACAATATCACTTTTCCCGGGAAACATAGCCGGGCGGATAATGTCATTATTGCCCGACTAAAGTCATTAACGCCCGACACAATATTGCTCACGTCAATATAGCAATTTAAATGCCTTCTCAACTAGTACTAAAACCCCTAGAACAGGCCCTGCAAGGTGGTAATAATACGATTTCATCTACAAAACTCAAATCCGGTTGAAAAACATCTCAATTTTGGATCACAAGCGATATGAAATGATTCGGTGTTACATATTTGAACGAGGTTCGCGTAACTGTCTATCAATTTTTGGCGTATCCGCAAATTCAAAATACATTATTATGGCTTGAGTAGAACATATTAAGTGGTTTACAATGCTTAATTGGCTTTGTATGACCGTATGTAGGTTACATTTATATACACCAAGGTTGTTGCGCAATGTAGAGCATGCCCTAACGAGGAAAGGAAACAAATTACTAAATTTTATGAAGTTTTGAATTTCAAACTCGACAGTTTTTCGCTTATTTCATGTTATCCATGGGCGTCGATTTGCAAAGTTTACGTTCAAAATAAACATTACTGAATACATCACCGAATGCGACGCTTACATAAATCTTTCATGCTTTTATTGATACGCAGTAGTAGAAAATAATGCACCTACCTTAGCTTTCTGTTTCATCGTGGCCATTTTATTGGATAAATCAGTGATCGTATTCGACTAACCTCGTTTTCAGAGGTGGCGTATCCGTCATGCTATAACACCGTGATTATGGTATACATTGAACACCCCAGTCAAAACAATATTGATCTATAACTTGCAGTATAAACAAACTAGGATATGAAACGTTGTTCACTATGCCACCACTCTGATGGCTTTATCACAAGGCACATTGTGAACAATATCGTACCTAAAACATAGCAGTGTGGGCTTGTTGACCCAGTAAGCAAGATGGTCACCGAAAAGTTCATCAGTTCTAGAAATTCTTACCATGTAACATGTGTAAGAATTTTAAGTAAATCCATTGAATGGTTTTCATGGAATCATGATGGCAAGATTTATCTAGAAACTCCCTCGATGGCCACCAGAATGCAAGATGAACACCAAAAAGTTAATCAGCTTGAGAACTTTTTACCATGTAACATGTGTGAAAATTTGAAGTAAATCCATGAAGTGGTTTTCCTGGAATCGTGATGACAAGTGAGATGCCATCCACCAAGCTGACGACAATATCGTACCATTTTTTAGGTACGATAAAAACTAAGCTTGTATTCGCGAATACAACTTTCGGCTGCCAGTTACTAGATTAACCTACTTTTTTATGGGCAACTCATTTAAATATGAATAGTACCTGGCACTATTCCATGCATATTTAAATGAATTGGTCATAAAATAGTAGATTAATCCAGTAGCCGACAAGCCTAAAATTGCATTTGTGAATACAAGCTTAGTAAGCTATATGTATGATGCGACATCAATTCAAACATTAAAGTCAATTTACTGCTAGAAAATAACCACAAATCTAAGCAGTATACATCATTCACCAAATACAGTTTTGCATTCCATTGTATGGAATGATCATCTAAGACAGAAATCGTTTGCTCTACACAATTCCCCTCCATTCATTTTTTTTATTTCAGGGCATGACAGTAAGGGATTATCTGTGATTCAAAACCACTTTAAGTTTCAAAGTTGTATTTTTCCTCAAGTTATTGCCTATACCAAGCAATAGGGGCTTGTCCTTTAATATAATGTGAAGCTTTATTCTCAAAGAATGGAGTCACATTTGTAGTTGGAAATGTAATCATTTGTTGCAGACACACCAAATAGCCTACTGGTCACAAAAATGGTGGCTATACGATATGACAGTCATCACTTCTTAGTGACATTATAACTGAACATGAAAATTGAACTACTTTTCATTAAAATATATTTTTACAATTCTATTTACAAAGATCATCCTCATCAATAGTATCTTTAATTCAAAATCATCTTTAAATCAAGGCATTAAAAATTATAAAAACAATTTTACAGTATTTTCTTTCAACAGGCATATAACAGCAATAAAATCAGATTTTTTACAATTCCACAGTCTTTGCCCCCTCCCCTAATTCTTTTGAAAACAATTTTCCTGTCAGGGAAAACTTGATCGATGCACTGTGAAGCACTGCCATCTATCATCAGAAAATAGTATTAAAAGCATCCTTAACATGATATTCAAAATGTACAATACTCTGATCTGTCCTTTACGAAGCAAAGCAAGTTTGTTCAATGTATGAGAAAATAGCCAAGACAGTGGCTTCTTGTTCAGTTTTCCTGTACTTAATGATCAAATTGTTTTCTTAAAGGGGCAACAAAGACAAGAGAAATAAACTTGAAAGTTTTTGATTGTTTGTCACAATTTTAGAATATTCCATTTTCTCAGTGCAATTATATCTCTAATTTCATTCATGGCCTAAAATCTTCAATAACTTCTATGTTTGATCAGATACAGCATCTTGATTTTTTCAAATAATAGAATAGTAGAATTAGAGTAGTAAAGGAAACACTGGTATGTTTTTTGTTGTAAAGTTGGCTTCCAACATTGTACATTTGTAAACTCTACTTTTTTGCTGCTGCTTAATTTGCTTTCTAACTCTACTGGTGTATATGGTGTCTAGTATTTATTACATTATATTTACAAACTTCATATAGCATATTTACATTTCTTTAATAAATCTTAATCTGCAGGTTTTTAACCATTTTAATCATATTTTCTCATTTATTAGTTATTAGTTTGAATGAATATAACTCATTATGTATACCTACTTATTAAACCTATCTACAAGGTTTTTACATGATCAATCAAACACATTACAGATCACACATAGCTATTATCAATGATTTTAATTAACATGATCATTTTAACACATTACACAACATGATAATTTCAACACATTACATGTAGTCCATTAACATGGTATCAGCATATTACACATAGCCATTAATTAACATGATCATTACAACATAAGACACATAGCCTAGAAACTATTAACATGGTAATTTGAACACATTACACATAGGTATCAATGGTTTTAATTTACACGATCATTTCAACACAATACACATAGCCTATCAACATGGTATTTTGAACACATTATACATAGCTATCAATGGTTTTAGTTTACATAATCATTTCAATGCACTACACATATGCAATCAGCATGGTATTTTGAACACATTATACATAGCTATTATCAATGGTTTTAATTTACATGATAATTTCAACACAATACACATAGCCTTTCAATATGGTAATTTGAACAGATTACACATAGCTATTATCAATGGTTTTAGTTTACATAATCATTTCAATGCACTACACATATGCAATCAGCATGGTATTTTGAACACATTATACATAGCTATTATCAATGGTTTTAATTTACATGATAATTTCAACACAATACACATAGGCTATCAACATGGTAATTTGAACACATTATACATAGCTATTATCAATGGTTTTAATTTACATGATGATTTCAACACAATACACATAGCCTATCAACGTGGTTTCAAGCCACTCAACATGGAGCCTATCAACATGGTTTACATGGTCATTTCAACAAGTCACTTAAAGCCTATCTACATGATCTACATGCTTTCAATTAACATGTTCAATTTAATACAAACCTTTCTAGATTGTTTTAACATGATCGATTCTTAGATCAAAATATAATTTTAACAACTGTTACACAAGTACAGGACTGGAAAGTAAAGATACAAATACTATTACTCTAATACTGGACACCTTGTATATTGCTTACAGGTGGCATTTTGGACCCACATGAGATAAAATTCTGGGAAGAACAATGAGTACATAGAATGGTTTTCAAAATAATGTTTACAGTACATTAGTGTTTTTTAAAAATTGTTGGAGGTCTTTTTACAGTTAGGAATTCCTTACTTTTACAGGGTTTCAGTGTACAGGTGTACATGTATTTATATCTGACCACTCTTTTCTGACAACATTTTAGAACACAATCTTAGAAAATCAACAAATATATGAAAGTATACAGAGATACACTATAATATAATGTATATACCCAGACACAGGTTGAAAATGTACAAATTATAAACATTTCATTTTACAAACTTTATTACTAGAGTACTCTAAAATACATTCATGTAAAAAAACACAAACCATGTATTTCTACCACCAGAATAAACATGGTTAGTAAGCATATTAGTTTTATTGTTGGCTGTCATTTTTCTTTGTGTAGCAACATACTATTGGCTTAAGTCAGAGCCCTTTTAGAAAGTATGCAGGTTTTCAATTTGGTGGACGTTTTAGAAAATATATAACAATTGATATTGAGGTGATACAGTAGAACAACTTATACGAATGTATGAACCTGAATATGAACTTTATAATTTTGTGCAATCAGTAATTTTTCATCTTAATACAACTGCCAATAAATCCGATAAAATAGCTACAATTCATCATTTTCTGATCACCTAAAAGTGGAAACCTAAACCTAACAGAAATAATTCCAATCAACATCAAACAAAAATAATCCAAAAATGTTTAGTCTCGATGCTAGTTCAAGTTGGACCTAAGACAAAGAAGTATGAATGCTAGAATGAATCTTAATTCCTATGTTCTAAGGCTTGTTCAATTTACATTTTAGATATTTACATATTTACACAGACATAGGCCTATTGAGGACATGTATGAATCTGTGAATATCTATCACTCAAAAATGAACCATTTGTATAAACAAACCAAAACTCTTCCATACTCATTTTTCCTGACAACATACTACTATGCTGAAACTCACTTGTACATTAATAAACATTTTTTACATTAAATCATATTGCAAAATGTCACCTTTAGATCATAATTATTGCATGCTTTCTTGATATACTCTGCAATATTTTTAATAAGAATTCCTGCATTGCATCTTGTAGATAAAGTCAAACCCATTCTATTTAATTACTAAAGGAGCCCTACATATACATTAAAAATAGCCTAGTTTGATAATCTAATTATTCAAAGAACTAAAATAACAGCAGTCCAATACTGGTTAAAATCTAGGTTTGAGTCAAAATCAAAGTTTGAGTCTCAGCCTCCTTTTCAAAATCACACAGATCACGTTTCCAATCCTTCCCAACCAAAGTAACCCATTTCATAGCTGGTTCTATGAGTTTATCACCGATATTAACAATTTTCAGATCTTCTTCAGTAACATTTGATGAATTATCAACAACTTCGACCATATCATCCATGCAATGGCAACGGTCCACACTGGGACATCCACAGGATAGGTTCATCCCAATGGTTGTGGCTGATTCTTGATTCTCCTCATATACAGTAACTGTTGTATTGTGTATAAGACTATCCAGAGCAGAACTTGCTGGAACCCCATGATCAGTGTCATCCTCGCCACCAATATTATTTTTAACCCATGATTTTGTCATGTCTTCTTTTAAGCTGCTAGCTTTGAATTCAACCAAATCAAAATTGTTTGAGTTGTTTTCAAAGTTTTCCATTTCATCAGCTTCGTCAGTGAGGTTTCCATCAGCCGGGAGATAAACAACATATTCATCAAGTTCACTATCTGACTGCTCAATATTTGGATTCACCTCATCAATTACTTCCCTTTTTGGAGACACAAACAGGCTTTCATTCTGCACCATCTCCTGTTTCACCTTCTTTGGTGTCTTTGTCTTGGGGGTTGTCTTTTTAGATAGAGGTTTTGGTTTATATGCTGCTTGTTGAACAGGTGACTTTCCCTTCTTTATGTTGGCTCTGGGTGGGGAGGGGGATGAATAGAAAGATGAGTTTGCAATGTTATACTTAGGTTTAGGATCTTTGTATGATCTTGTATTCTCCATTTGGTTTCGAATTCCACTTGGGGTCATCGCATCTTCATTGATTACTTTGAAGTATTCTGGGGGTTTGTCACCGATCTGTTGTAAAACAGCAAGACTCTGGTGTCTTTGGGAGAGCAGGTGCCTCCCAAAGTCATACCGTTGAGTGGTTCTAAGGTCACACAAAGGACATTCATATACTACACCAGCATTAACATTATGGAAACTGACCATGTGCCGATTGTAGCTTCCCTGAACATTGGTCTTGAAGGGACATTTTAAACAGTGAAATAATCCAGTTTCCTTATTTCTTAGTGCTTCACTTGCGTTTTTAAATTTTCCTTTATAGGTTTTACCTTTCGCTTCCCATACCTTCTGGCGATCTTCTTTCTTTATATTATATACCATTGCATCTGGATCTTTTGGTTCAGTCTTGATTTTTATTTTTTGCACTTTCTTGGCTTTGGCAACAGACTTTTTCATAAGTGTAGTAGTTGCTTTCTTTTTAACATTTTTAATCTTTTGAACTATTTCTTTTTTAACCTTAATCCTTTCCTTTTTCACTTTAATCTTTTCCTTCTTTACCCTCTTGGCTTTCTTTTTTGTCTTAGCTCCTACTTGGTTCTTCTGATACTCTATTTGTTCAATAGGTACACCACTGTACAACTTCTGTACAGGGGTACTGATAGACTTGCCTAGTAATTTTCCTTTTTCTCCTGTAAGATGCCATTTGCTCTTTAAGTGGCGATCTAATTCACTCTGGCACATGACTACATAGTTGCACTTTTCACATGAGAGATATTTGACGCCATCTCTTAAGATGTGATGAAGTGTTGCCTCATGTCTTACTATATAAGTCTTGTTGGTAGCCTTGAAATTGCATCCTGGGGATGAACAATGCATGATAGGTTTATCAAGAATATTTTTGTTTGGCAATATTTTCTGAAAGTCTTTTGGAATCTCAGATGGTGTCTTCTGATCCATTTCCAACTTTTGTAAATTATTAGGGTCCATATTTGGCGTTGCTGGGGTAGCTACGTGATTAAAGTTGCTCATTTCATGATTATTTTCAGCACCTTCAATCCCCATGGATGGTACAAAAGAGTTTTCCAACTCTAGACCAGGTTCAACTTTGAGGCAAATGTCACTGGAAGCACTGGTGTTATCATCTTGGTTCTGATCAGCAAATATGTTTTCTAATACTGGAGGTTCATTAAGATCAGTTGTTGCACTTTTTTCAGTTTTCATCCTCTTACCACATGTGTTTTTCTTCGTGACACTAGATTTTCTTTTGAGGGCCTTGTTTTTTGTGGTGCTTTTCTTGGCAGACTGTTTCCCCTTCGAGGGTGATCCTGTTGTGTTCTTACCACTGATGCTTTGGTTGGTTGTTTCACTGTTGTTATGGCTACTATCATTATTGATGCCTTGATTGGTTGTGTTACTGTTGCTATGGAGTAGATCATTATTGAAATCTGTGCTGCCATCTTTTGTTCTTGTTGGTGGTTCAACTGGGCCTAAGACACTGTCCGCCTCCTCTGCAAGTACAAACAGCAAACATTAGTTGCATTCATCACCATGACACATTGACACTTGCAGGGGAGGCAGCAGTGTGGGTATCACCTTTTCAGATCAAGGACAACAGGTTGAACCTTTTTAAAACAGGGACTTTTGTCCTGTATCACAAATTTTACCTGCAATTTCCTGTCATAATAAAGAATGAATGTAATAAGTAAATTCGTTGTTAGTTTATTCAAAATGATATGTTACTAACTAATAAAAATAATACATAATAAAACAAAAAACAAACAAAAACACTCTTTTTTAAACTTAAGATGATCAAAAGTCTAAAACTACCACCTATCAGATTATGAAGTACATCTATCCTACAAGATCAAATATGTATAAAATCTAGGAATTCCACTTATTATATACATCATATTTTTACAATAAAAATTATTTCTTTGTCCTATAAATAATTATTATTCTTTTACATCCTGTGAACAAATCAATATGTCTTGCTACCTATCTATCTTATAATGTAACAAAACTTGCTAATATTTTTATTCAAAACACGTGCCTGGTCTTAAGAATGGACACAAGCCATGATAAAAAAATAGCTTAAGCAGTTAAGGGTTTGGAGGATAAGTCTTCTGTTTGTGTTGAACAGTCCTGGGTGTATCCAGTAAGAACACTTGTTATGCCATAATCAGCAGGGGTTTGCCAGGGAGTCTTACTGGCATATAAAATGCACGATTTGTCAACATTGATGAGGTCCCCCTTCTCAACTTGAGTGTCCATATCAGAAAAGAATAATGTAGCATTTCGTTCACTAATGTCAATATCATTTTCAGCCTTGAGTGCATTACGCCATGAATCTTCGAATGAATCATCATTTAGTTCCACAGTTTCCATGGCAACATCACTAGCTTTGGCATCAGTTGATACCAAATTTCCATTTGCGATATTTGATAAATTATGTGCCATGTTTTGGGTTTCTATTTGCTGGTGAAGTGTGTTTTTGTCGGTATCCTCATTTGGATCTGGTTGAAGGTCCTCTAGATCTTCTTCATCAGGTTTTGTTACAGAGACTAATTTCACAGTTTCTTCGATGCTGAATTTCCTGCTTCCTTTTCCAGTATCAGAACCATCTTTAGTTTGTTTCTTAGGACCTCGCTTTGCTTTTTTGGAGTTCTCATTACTGGTTGATGACGGAGGTGCCATTCTCTTTCTACCTCTTGCTTTAGGTTTCACATCTACATCATCAGTTATGTTATCATCATCAACAGTATCAGGAATCACTGAGGTATCATCACTGAGCTTTTGTTTTTTAGTTGTTTTGTTCAATATTGATTTTTGTACCCTTTGATTTGCCTTTAATTTGGCTTTATTCAGAATTAGTTGTGATTTAGTAGTTTTGAGCAGTGTTCGAGGTTTCATTTGGTGCTTTGCTGTTGGAATTGGGAGGGTACGAGGGGTTCCGGAAATCACAAAGTCAAGAGCAACCATATCCAATGCACCTGGTATTTTTTCTGCATTGCTGATGTGTAGTTTGGAATTTAAATGCCTTGTGAAATCGTAGCGGTTTTTAGACTGGTGGCTTGGTGCACACATTGTGCATTTGTATATTATTTGCCCACCAGATTTCTTATTAGGAGTTGTGGTCACATTCTTCTCTGGAGTTGATACAGTCTTCTCAACTGTAACAGGCTTCAGATCTTCAACAATACTTTTGATCTTTTCAGTATTTTTCTTAACTTTGGTTGGTGCACTCTTAACCTGAGGTTTTCCATTAGTACGGGTCAGCCTTGCGATAGGTTTTTCAACTTTCTTTCTTAAAGCCATCCCTCGTTTAACTGCTTTCTTATTTTGAGCTTGGAGTACAAATTTCCTTTTGAGTTTTGCCTCAATATCTTTTCTAAAATACCTCGTTACAGGCACTGGTTCGGGTTTCTCAGTTCTTCCATTAGAATTTGTCCCTTTCTTTCCATTTGGACCGTCATTTTTCTCAAACAATTCATTTCTAGCGTCCACTCTCTGTTTTCCTTTCTTTTGAGATACTGATGTTGCTGACTTAGCTTCTCGTGTAGGTCTAGCAGGTCTCATATATATGCTGTTCACATTACGCTTCTTTATTTCTCTTGTCAGAGGAGGGAGCTCAATTGGTATCCTTCTTTTTCTGGTTTTTGGTTCACCTTGCTTAATCTTTCCGGCTTCTTTGATGCTATCAGTTTCAGAATCATCTTGGACTGAATCTTTTGGCTCAATTCTTTCAATTTCAGTTGGTTCAGTTTTTATATTTTTAGACCTTCTTCCTTTTCTGGTCTTACCTTTATCACTTTCTATGGCATCATTTCCAATTGCTTTATCCTTATCAGACTCATTTTCAATGTCTTCAGATTTTTGATTAATCTGGTCAGATACTTCATCTTCTGGTTCATCAAATTTTCTGGTTTTTGGAATATTTTCATCTGAATCAGTGAGGTCGTCTACACCATCTGAAGTTCTCTTATCAACTGATTTAGAAGCATCTTCTGTGTCATATTCAGATGGCTCCTCTTTGGTTTCACTGCTGGTCTGGTCCACAGTTCCTTCAGATTTAATATCATCTTGCTGTGCATTTCCTGACCGAGTTGACCTCCTCTTGGGTATTTCTTTCTTCATAAATTTATTTTTCTTAGCTTTTACTGATATAGGTTTCACTGGAAAACGTGACAGGGATTTCAATCCTCTTGGTTTAACTGGCTGAATTGAGTGTTTTAAAGTAGACTTCTTTGCTGTAATATCAGATTCTTCATTAATAGCAGTTGTAGTATCTTGGTCAGATGAAGCTGATCCAATCGAAATTGCAGATAAATTGTTATCGTCCTCTGTCTCAGTAGGTTTGGGAATTTCTTTGTTACTTTCCGCACTATTTTCTTCCTTCTCTCCACTAGCCAGTTTAGAGAGAACAATATCATCTTCATCACCATCATCATCATCTTCAAGATCATCTGCTTTGCTTTTAGTCTTTCCAAATTTCAAAGTTTGCTTAGTACTGACAGAAGGTTTATTCATACTTCCCTTTGGTCGACCTCTTGGGCGTATAATTGGATCTTTGGAAGCTCTTGTGCTTTTTCCTAGTTTTGATGTTTTAGCTGAGATGTCCTTCTTATATTTCACATTTTTCTTAATTTGTCCCTTGTTTTTATCTGTAGATGTTCCCTTAACCTCAGAGGGTGATTTTAATTGAGTAAAAGCTGTTGATTGAGCCTCTTCAGCTGTGATCTTGTACCGTTCAATCGTTTTACCGGCACTCTTTGGTGCATTCTCATGGTGTCTAGTTGTATTGATGTGACGGTTGAAGTCATATCCATCAGTAGTGCGCAATTCACAATATGTGCAGGAGAAAAAGAAATCTGACATAAGCACATCATGCTGACTCATCATGTGCCGATTGTATGTTGGCCTTGATGGTGTTGACCAGGAGTCACAGTGGCTGCATTTGAAACCATTTGAATTTTTCATGGGAGTCCCTATCTTCACACCAGTTGTTTCTTGTTTTGGTGTTGTATCCACAGCTTTAGACTGGGCTGTTTTAGAATTTGGTTTTTGCTTTGCTTTAAGAGCCGCTTTCTTTACTTTATTAGCTATCACCTGATTTGATGTTTTAGTCTTTGTTTTGAGAATTTTTCCTGATTTCAACTGTTTTTTCACAATGGCCTTCAATTTCTTTTCCTTCAACTTTCCTTTTCTTAATTCTTTTGCTTTAGTTACCTTTCCCTTTTTCAACTTTTCTTTGACTTTCTTGGCCTTTTCCTTCTTTCTCAAAGCCTCAAACTTTTTAACACCTTTGATATGTGCCAGATTACTGAGATGTTTCGCAAAGTCAGTGACTGAATATGCAATGAAGTTGCACTTGATACATTTGAACTTTTTCAAAGGGTCAAATTTCTCTAAAGTAGGGGGGTTATCAAGGTCATTGGTTTCTCCTGGAGATGGCTCCTCTCCAGACTTAAGTTCTTTTACTTGCACATCTTTTGCTTGATCAAGTTGTGGAGCATCTAATACAGGTGGTGCAATTACAGCAGGTGGTGTGGTCTCTACCTTCTTTTGACTAAATCCTGATGTTGATGGATCAGATACACTTGCCTTTGATAACTTTTTTACTATTTGTTCTGACTTTTTGCTTGTTTCAGTCTGCTGACGAGGCATATCTTCTTTTTTAGTTGCCTTCTCTTTTCCATCACCCTTCTTTGTCACTGGCTTAATAATTTTAGATTCACCATCACTTGACTTCAACTTGCTACTTTCACTAGTTTTAAGTTTGCTACTTTCAACAGATTTTGATTTACTAATTTCATCAGATTTTGACTTGCTGATTTCAACAGTTTTTGGTTTGCTACTTTCAAGAGATTTTGATTTACTAATTTCATCAGATTTTGGTTTGCTACTTTCAACAGATACCAACTTGCTACTTTCAAGAGATTTTGACTTGCTAATTTCATCATATTTTGAATTGTTACTTTCAACAGTTCTTGGTTTGCTAATTTCAACAGATTTAAATTTGCTACTTTCAACAGATTTTGACTTGCTACTTTCAACAGATTTTGTCTTACTACTATCAAAGGAATTATGCTTCCCACTTGCTGATGAAGAGCTCTTCATACTTGGTTTATCTATGACAGAACTAACATTTGAATTCTTCTTAACACCAACACTTGGACCTTGTTTAACTGCTGTTGATGTTTTGTAAGTAGAAACAGACTTGCTGGAAGCTACCTTAACATCTGAACTAGGAGATTTTGGAGCCTTGGAACTATGTAATAAAGAGATCATTCTTGGGCTCTCACTCCTACCTAATGGATCTTTGCTGATACTGCTACGGTAGAGATCTTGTGATTTAGTCTCAGAAACACTAGACTTGGGAACTATTTTTTTTGAATTGAACCCAGAAGGACTGGAACTTGATGGAGGGGGTTTTGAACTTACAGAGCCCTTAGAACTAGGTATCTTTTCACCCAATACAGGACTACGTCTAGCTATATTCTCTTCAGATGCTAAACTTGGTCTGTATACCATTTCTACAATATCAAAAGGTGTCATGTTACTACTTCTGGGACCAGGAGACATATAATGTGAATATACATCTGACCTTGAGGTTTTACTTGTCCCTGAAGTTTGCTCATATTTACTAAAATCGTCCTTTGATTTTATGGATTCAAAAATGTTTTTTCCATTTGATTTAACATTGTCTGAAGCAGATTTTGAAACATCTGGCTTCTTCTGAGAAGACATTTTATGTAAACTAGAAGATGAAGTTTTAGTTTCAGTTGCCTTTTCCCCACTTGAAGCATTCAAATGTCCACCATGAACTGATGTTACAGATTTTCCTGGTAAAATATCACATTTATTGTCAGTGTTTGATTTAGTTTCATTTCTGTCAGGGGTCTTTGTTGCAGGTGCACCTTTCTCCAGAAGCTTTGTTGTTGGTACACTTTTGTCAGATATCTTTGTTGTAGCTACACCTTTATCAGCGATGGTTGTTGGAGGTACACTTTTGTCAGGTATATTTGTTGTAGGTTCACTTTTGCGAGAGATATCTGTTGTTGGAACAGTTTTATCAGGGATATTTGTTTTAGGTACAGTTTTGTCAGCAATTGTTGTAGGTACAATCTTTTCAGGAATTGTTGTAGTTCCACTATTACTAGGGATCACTGATGCAGATTTACTGCTATTGTCAGGAGTCAAAGATTCGCTTAGTTTCTTTGATTCTGTTTTATGAGCAATTGAGCTTGTTAGCTTCTGAACAATGGAATCTAGACCTTTGCCTTTGTTATATATTTTTCGTTTCTTGCTAGTGTTCACAGTGGGAGTGTCTCTATCAGGTATTGTTGTATCACTGTCAGTACCACTATTGTTCGAAACTTTCTCGAAGTCCTTTGAAGAGAATCTAACAACAGATTCAACCTTATTGCCTGGTCTTTGCAGCACTTTAGGAATTTCATCAACAGCTTTTGGCGTGCTGGTTTCAGCAATATCTTTAATTGGTGTATCATGTTTTATATCACCAGTGGTTATAATAGCTGCTTTGTTATTATCACTTGGGCCTATATTTTGAGCTGTTGCACCAAGATTAGTCTTTTCAATTTGAGTAGCACTTTTAATATTGTTGTTCGTCTGTGGTTCACAGGAAGCTGTCTCTATATTAGGTTTAGATTCTGAAGTGTCTTTGGAGGGAACAGAATCTGCCTTATTAATTGCTGTATTGCCAGCAGTTGAGGAGTCTTTCATGCTAATACCAGGGGGATTATCTGTCTTAGGTATATCCGGGGCTGGGGCTGCTATATCATAGCTACGCTTCGGTCGACCTGCTTTCTTATCTAAAATATAATTGTATTAGTTTTATAAATGCTGAATTGTTTTAAGAACCTGGGTAGAGATAGGCTTTTATTGCCCTTGGTGATTTCTTTCTCAAGGAATGATCAAACCTTGAAGAACTGAGTTAATTAAAGGGGTAGCACCACAATACCAATGCACACCAAATCACAAAGTTAATTTTGTTTGGGTAGGAGCCAAGAGGGGTAAATGCCATTTAGTTTTATTTGGTTGGTAAAATAGTTTTTACCTAAATTTATCCCACAGTACTGGTAATATTGGTGAACTCATATTTGCATTGAAGTCAGTAGATTCTGCAACAAGGCCCCAAAATATCCTGGACAGAACATTGTAAATGGTACGTGTAACTTAAGAAGGATGGAGGATTAATTCAACAGTAAATTCCTTAATGGTTTGGTATGCATAGAGGTTATTTAATGGGAAGCTTTTGATATCTGAGGGAAATACAATATATCTACACGAGGGACAATAGGGACTGAATGCTGATATTGTATTTACTGAGGGATATACCCTGTATCAAAAATCGAGCATTTAATAACTGATTTATCCTATACTTAGTAGATTATGAAGATTAGTAGATTATTTAAAACTAAATTCCCGAGAATTGTTGATGAGCGGGTGATATATAAATATATATCTCAAACTCACCCCAGCAGGAGATATATATATCACCCACTCACCTCAGATATCAATTATATTCCCGCGTGTTATTTACCTATAACACTACAAAGTATGGGATAAATCATGTTATGACATAGTTTATAAATTACACAAGCATAAAGGGAGTTGTTAGACTGTGATATAAGCATGAAATAAACTTGTGAAATTTTTCAAATGCTTTGGCACTGAAATCTTTTAATGATAAATTCTTTATGTCCATAAGGACTGATAAGCCAATATTCTATTCAGTATATTTTGATATGCTGTACTCAACATATATTAAGTGGAAGTACAATACGTGATGAGGCATTTTAGTGCTATATTGCAAATTTTTCAACAAGGCACAGACGTGAACAATATCGTACCTAAAACACAGCATTGTGGTCTTGTTGACCAAGAAAGCAAGATGGCCGCAGAAAAGTTAATCAGCTCTAGAACGTATCACTGTGTAACATATGTAAAAATTTGAACGGTTTGGCTGGAAACCTGTAGACAAGTCTTGAAAGTGAAGATTTTAGGACGGAAAATTTCAGATGAATCCCTCAAAAGGTTTGGCTGGAAACGTCTTGAAAGTAAAGATTTTAGGACGGAAAATCCAAAATGGCCACCTTAAAATTTACCCAGAATGCCCAAAAACTAATCAGTTCTTGACGTTGATATGTAGAAACATCCCTAATAAATTTCAGATGAATCCCTCAAATGGTTTGGCTGAAAACCTGTAGACAAGTCTTGAAAGTGAAGATTTTAGGACGGAAAATCCAAATTGGCCACCTTAAGATTTACCCAGAATGCCCAAAAACCAATCAGTTCTTGACGTTGATATGTAGAAACATCCCTGAAAATTTCAGATGAATCCCTCAAATGGTTTGGCTGGAAACCTGTAGACAAGCTGAAAAGTGAGACGCCGCCCGCCCGCCCGTCAAGCTGACTACAATATCGTACCTTTTGTTAGGTACGATAAAAACAGTAACAATCTGAGAAATTGCAATTAGAAGACAAATAGGCATTATCAGATAATTGATAAACATAAAGTGAATATGTTAATGAGCTATTGAATTTTTTGAAACTATTTTTTCTATTGTTCATGTAAGCTCTCTGAATTAAAAGTTGATCCTATATTCAATGTTTGAGTCTTAAGAAAGCCCTCACAAAAGTTTTTCCATGAATTATTCTTAATTTAAAATGTGAATATGGAAGATTTTGAATTGCATCACTTTAGCAATGATAACTGGTTATTTCACCACAGACCTCACAAACAATTTTGCTAGGACTATTTTTGAAATTGTGACAGTCATTTTCATTTTTAATGTTTTTTAAAGATCTTTAAAAAATTATACTTTGCTTGAAATCAACAATAACATAATTCTGTGAAAAAAGTTGTAGCTAATTTTTTTAAATGTACTAATGGAATAAGCTGTTAGGATGTTATGACATATAACTTACCTATATGTACAGATTGCTTCTAAATGTATTTTATTAAAAAACATTTCAAAGTTTCATCATGCCTTATGAAAATGAGCCAGGCTGGTCAACTCTTGAAATTTCTACTTCTATGGGTGCCAACTGACCAGAAATTACTTTGTTGGCATTATATATAAATTGACATGACAACTATTCAACAACAATATCATATTTCCTAAAAGTCTTGAAAAGCGGTAACCATTCAAAATAAATGTAAACCTCCAATATTCTAACATAAAATGGTAAAGTTTTGATGACATTGTTATATAGAATACATACCAAGTTCCGCAAGGTCAATGCAAGAAAGGGCGTGAAGCATAAAGTTGCGTTCCTCAGAAAAGCCTTGATTACAGCCATCACACTTGTATGCTGACGACTCAGCCTCTAATGCTGCCATCTTTTATGGGCGGACTACACCAACATATGCAGACCCTGGAAATAGAGTATCAATTTTATAGATGGGATGAAAAAATTACAATAAATATTTTCCTGAACCACGGCAAAAAATGATGCCTGATTATCAAACTGTTTATTAGAATATAACAATGAACATGTTTTGGTGAATAACTGAATTGTTCAAATCTGGGGCATAGTTTTATGTCAAAATCAATATCAATATTTTGACATATTTTGCAGGTCAGACTGAACTCAGTCAGCTGAAAATATGGTTTAGATAAAACAATCTGATATCAGGAGGGATAAATTTGCGTTATCAGTGGAGAGTTGTGAATCATGATAGAAATATGATTGATGATGGACGAACTGCCAAATTAAATTTCAAAATTTACCCAATCCGACAAATTAAATAGCACAAAATAAAAGCAAAGTCAAGGATATAAATAAGGTATAAATAATTAGAATGATCGATTATGACTACTACTTTATTCATGACCTGACTGCGTCCGTCGGTAGAATTTGAAAATTAAGAGTTCTCAAAAGATTGGGAGTCTTACTTACCTTCTAGAGGTTAGAACACACATTTTCAATGAAACCCTACTACCTTTGTTTTCTTGATGATGAAGCAGAAGCACAGTAATTGATTGAAATTTGTGTACAGTAAATGCTTTTTGGACTTTCCCATTTCCCATTTTTCCTTGTGTTGACTTCCGGGAAGGTGTTGCCCCTATCACGAAATAATGCATTGCCCTTGAACTTAATTTGGTTACATGTCAACCAACCATGTCTGATGTGAAAATAATTAAAACATTAAAAAGAATGTTTTTTTGGTCGTTTGCAGATGAGTTTAGGATGGGCAGAGGAGGATGGTCTGTTCTAAGATAGAAGAAACTACATGATCTACAGTGGAACTATTGGTTGGAACTTACTCGAACTTACTCGAGTCTCTAGCCAATACTTGGCTAGAGGTGATTTCATCTGAATACTGTGAACTCCATTTGAAAAAAGCTGGCCGAAATGTCGTTAACGTCTGACAATAGTAACTGGCTGTAAATTCTAAGTTAGCAATCCAGAATATGTGAACTAATACACTGATCACTTTATGTGTTTTGAATTTTTGGTGAGATAATAAAACCAAAACTCGCAATTCAAATTGTGACATATGATTTCAAATTTTATGATTACGACATGACCAGTTGTTCATGCAGGAATTTATCTTTACTGGAAGGCCACGATACAGTGGCCTTAGAAGAAGGTAAGTTGGAACGAGATGCTATGGAGAAAGTATGAATTAATACAGTGAGACCTGTTTGTGATGCTTTATAATTTAGACCAAAATATAGAACAATAAACGCACAAGTAAATCGTAAAATCAATGAACAAACATTCAATTTTCACATATGTTCAGTAATTTTTAGTTTTGGAACTTCCGGAACTTATATGGAAATCGTTCATTTTCACAGTTCATATTTTACCTCTTGTAGTATTGTGCTAAATGCTCAATGGTTGACGCAACAAAGGTGATAGGATTTCATTGAAATTTGTGCTTAACCTCTATTAAGGTAAGACTCTCAATCTTTAGGTAACTCTTATTTTTCAAATTCTAGCAGTCAGGCCATGAAAAAAGTAGTAAAATATTGCAGAAAATAAATACGAAAGGGAAGAGATGAATAGGGGGGGGGGGAGATTCAAAATTCTTAATTTTTCTGCAAATTCCTATTGGTGTTGTCCTGGCTCTGTGTAAGTAAAAACTCTAATAGATCTACATCCAACTCATCAGAGCCAGAAATTTGAAAATTTCAAAGCTGATAAATAATTTTAAAACCATTTTCTACAAGGAGTTTTGTATGTAGATTTCTATTTTTGATATAATTTTGTCAAACGCTGTACAATTAATGATGGAAAACAAGGAATATTCCTGCTTACATGAAGTCTATTTGAAATGTACGAAGACAATAAAAAAGTGGGCGATAATATGTGATTTTTTAAAAATGTGAATTTTCAGTTTCAAGTTTCAGCAAGATTTGCGATCTTCTATACATTTTTAATAATCAGAAATGTTCTCTAGCAAACATAAAACATGAATATACAAACCTTTTTATTGAAACCTTCCCGTAAAGTAGAAAATAAACGATTCAATCTGTGCTAATTTTGGAACCTCGATTACTTCCAGTTGCGGGAAATATTGCGCCACCTGGTGGGAATCTGCTTGAGGAGAAAAGTGAAACTGATGTTGCAGGTATTATTTTAGTCACGTTTCTTGTGTTACATCCATCATTCATCTCTCATTCATTATCCATTTTCAGCTTTAGCCATCTCTCGACTGAGCTACTGAAGGCTAGATTTATAGCAATTATTTTATTTAGCAAAGGTGACTGATGAAGAAGAAACAAACCTGACATCTTTCTCAGCTGATCACACTCAAAGCTCAGTCTCAGTAAACCATCAGTTTTACACAGCATAGCAGTTGGCTTGCAAAGTTTGGTGGGACCTGAGAGCTTCACTTTGAAACTTATCTTCTCTATCTCTTTCGCAGACCGTCCAACTGTCCTGCAATTTGCATATTTGTCACGCATTATCACGCGGTAGTATCTCTTCGGGACGTATCGAAACCACTCCGTCCCGAAAAAACCGTTAATTTGAATTTAAAACCTACCCCAGTGTTTGAAAATCAAGGATTGTGAGTCTCACACTTCACAGTTTTTCTTCAAACTTGTTCCGTACAAAGCTTCACAGAAATACCTTTCGGTCGATACATTGTTTTCGTGTACAAAGTACCTCGTTTTAGCGGCGTTTTGGTCCCCAGCTGCGAGATAAAGCAAATTTTCATAACTTTCAACTGTAAGTCAAGTTATCTCGCCAGTCTTTTACCCATTCTCGCTCATAATTTCAGAATGCACTCCCATTACAACCTTCCATCGCTACGTTTTGATTTTTGGGCATCAAACGCAGCAGTTTCTAAATCATCCACACATCTCTTAAAATTTGACTAATACGTCCCGTCACCTTCCACTACGCCCCGCCGATTTTGGACCACCCTATTATAGGTATATTAAAAATGGACAAGAATGGGTAAATCTTAAAACACAATCCGATTGGTATTTAGAATCGACAATGGCAACCTACAAACGGACACATCGATGGACAAATTGTTTTAGAATGCAACTCTACGTGTATAGTGATAGACCCGGCGGGGCGTAGTGGAAGATGACGGGACGTATTGGTCAAATTTGAAGAGATGTGTGGATGATTTAGAAACTGCTGCGTTTGATGCCCAAAAATCAAGACGTAGCGATGGAAGGTTGTAATGGGAGTCCATTCTGAAATTATGGGCGAGAATGGGTAAAAGACTGGCGAGATAACTTGACTTACAGTTGAAAGTTATGAAAATTTGCTTTATCTCACAGCTGGGGACCAAAACGCCGCTAAAACGAGGTACTTTGTACACGAAAACAATGTATCGACTGAAAGGTATTTCTGTGAAGCTTTGTACGAAACAAGTTTGAAGAAAAACGGTGAAGTGTGAGACTCACAATCCTTGATTTTCAAACACTGGGGTAGGTTTTAAATTCAAATTAACGGTTTTTCGGGACGGAGTGGTTTCGATACGTCCCGAAGAGATACTACCGCGTGATTATATGCTGAAGAAATTGTCACGCCTGATTTTTTACATAACAGCATATTTCACACAAATACACATTTTTTCTGAATATTGTCAAGCAAAAATATTTCACCTGTAGAACATCAAAAAACGAACGTCAAAGAACTAACCAACTAGCTCTAACGTTTAGAATTTTCAAGCAAATTCCGTATATGTCACTGATTAGAATTTTCTTGTTTGAATGCCTATGATCAGGAATCAATGTGTATTGGATATATAGCCATGTGATTTAAGACGATCACTTATCCTATGCCAAGTAGAGTTTTAGGGAGATAAGTTGGTAAGATATATCCCGTAGTTTTCATATCCAGAACCTCCATATCTTCCGCCATATCTCCCGCTTCGTTGCATATCTTCCCACTTCCAGTGCATATCCTCCCACTTCCGGTAATGCAATAAAATGACTTTGCATATGAATGATTTGTTTATTTTTACACCGTGAACTATTGAAATGGCCATATGCCCCTGAAGACTCTACTTGGTATAGGATAAAGCAGTTATGTACCGTCGGTTTGGATATTGGGTTCATCCCTCATGAGATATGCACATCTACCTATCTCCCTCTGGATAAACCCCATATCCAAAACCTCCTTGTATATATAACCCTTATTTATGTAGATGAATTATATAATTACTGGTAATATTTGACATTATTATATACCTCATAATATCATTGGCTTATTCATGGTCACATGATATGAAACTAGTAGATGAACTAATTCTCGAATTCGTTGTTCTCTCTTCAAAAGAGAAGACGCGAAAATCTTTTCTTATAAGGGCAAAATATTTCCCATGATGCAGTTCGCGGAGGAACAAATTTATACTTCCTTATTTTCCCTCATACAGGGTGACCCAAAAAAAATGCAACCCTCCATATCTTCAATATTTTTCTTAAATGGAGGTGAATTGCTCTGAAATTTGGCACACACGGACTACATTCAATGTGGGATCCTCTGGCAAAGTTTCAATAATCAGAGTCTTATATTGATAGAGTTATGGTCGTTCCAAAATATGCTCCAAATGTCGTCCATTTCCAATGTTAGGTTTTCGGAAGAATCACATTCCCTTCTTTCTGAACATGTAAACTCAAGAAATAATGTGTTCTGGGATCACAAATTCAAGATGAAGTGCTTCAAAGGCCCCTTCATTCTGTTAAATGCACAGCTTGGGCTGCCAATTTCCAAACATGAAATCATCAGCCCCTTTTGGTTTGAGGTTGATAATGGCAACACTGTTACTGTTAACACACAGCGCAATATTGGCATTCCCAGGAAGTTCCAGGCAGTTCTAGAATGACATACAGGCTTCAATAGACAAGAACAGTGATTCTAGAAGGATGGGGCTACTCCTCACACTTCTTATGATAGCATAGCCTGGCTCACTAGTCATTTCTATGATGAGATTATCTCTCCTAGGATGGAGAACCCATGGTCATCCCACAGTCTTGATCTCAATGCCCCTGACTTCTATATATGGGGTTATTTAAAGGATAATATGTATGAAAATAACCCTACTGCAATTGCAGAACTCCAACAAGCATTCCTGCAAAAATTTGAGCCATACCCATGGGGAAGAATGCATCCGTGTTATGAACAGTTTTCCTTGAACATTGCAAGTTTGTTTTCAGCGAAATTGACGATATATGGAGCATATTTTGAAACAACCATAACTCGATCAATATAAAACTATCGTTATTAAAACTTTGCCAGAGGATCCCACATTGAATGAGGTTCTTGTGTGCCAAATCTCAGAGCAATTTACCTCCATTTAAGAAAAATATTGAAGAAATGGAGGGTTGCATTTTTTTGGGTCACCCTGTAGGTTTTACATGGGGATTTTCACAACTATTTTTTAAACGATATATTCGTTCATATTCCCGTACAAGAGTACAGAAAAAATTATTAGAAACGATTGATCTCTCATTAATCTTAATATAACAGCTATTTTTTTTCATTGTATTAACTCATAGCGTGGTGAAAACGATGATTGAAAAGTGAGAAAATATTCCGGAAGAGAAGGTCACGTGATCAGTAGACTAGTCGCCATATTGGAAAAAACAATTCCACTCGACTTTCAATACTTTCATGCCAATCTTACCGCACTACAAACTGCGACATCGATGCAACAACTGAATAAAAGTATTCATCTTCAAATTACATTATAGAGTTACGTTGAAAACCCACAAACAACTGAGCAGTAGACCAAAGAAGACGCGTCGCTATTATCTAGGTCAATCTGTTCAATGGTCCGAAAGCAAATCTATAGTACTTGTTTCCGAATTTTTTTGTTCATTGTACAATCTTTTATTGATTAAACTCAGTATACTGACTATTAAAGCAATGACAAAGAAGAATACTTACGATGGTGTCATTGTTTTATTTAGTGTGTGGGTGTAAAAACAAAATTGAGTAATTAGTTTGATTTAGAACTTTCGTGTCACGCAAATAGCTACGCGAAATGCATAGTGGGAAAATATTGACCAATCAAATTTTGTCCTTTTTGAGTGCTTTTCAGTGCATATCTGCGAACGTTCTGATTCAAAGAGCGAACTGCGAAAAGGAGAATTCCCTGGAAAGTCCTAAATCCTTGGTATCAGGGAAGATGAAATATACTAATGACCAGTTAGGTCATGTGACCAGTCATTAGTACGTTTTATCTTCCCCGATAGATGAGATTACAGGAGTTGAAAGGCAAAATGCCTTTAAATGCCAATAAGAATCTGTAAACATTAATGTTAAAATGAAGACTTCTCATTTTGTTTTTGTTAACCGAGTACATACACTGGCGGGGGCCTGGGGACCCTTAGGTGGGCCCAGAAAAAAAAAGTTGGTCCCAAAAATATTTTTAGACCAATAAAGGCCTTAAGGCCCCAAAAAGTAGGCCTTTTTTGGTCATTACTGGGCCTTGTAAGGCCTTATTTTTTTAATTTCAGGCAAGTTTTGAAGAAAATGGGCCTTAAAGTGTCAAAATGTTGGCCTACTTTTGGGTTTTACGGGCCCAAAAAGTTTTTCTTTGACCTGAAATTTGGGCCCCCCCTTGTTGCTTCCCAGATCCGCCCCTGACATATGGTGTATATAATAAAATTAATAGTGACTGCCACATTTTCGGGAAACAGTGTAAAAATTTTCTACTCTCGGGAGTCGGGAATATCCTGTCTACTGACCGTTGGTCCAACATTTCACTATATTGCCATTTGAAATGACGTTATTGACTATTATCATGTACAGGTATGCTTTGCAAAGTTAATCATTGTAATATAGATGTCAGATAAATACATATCCCCTTCTGACAATCAGCAAATGATTTCTGACTAAAAGATCGCTAAAAGCTGTCTTCCCAGGTGATGATGTAAGCAACAAGTATCCTGATTTTATTCAATGTTGGCATGTTTTAATGTTTTCAACTACATGTACCGATGTATTTCTGATGGCTTTTCATAGAAATCTTACCTATGATGAAGCACTCCTTTGTTGAGATTTGATGTCTATCTCTTTGGACTGGTGCTTTAGATTCCCTGTACTTTTTAAGTTGTGATTGTGACTCAACGAGTCGGATGAGTGATAAGAAAAAAGCAAAGTACACTTTTACATAACAATATAGATGGTACCATCTCTTTGGTTCAAATAAAATAAAAGTGTGTCTTAATTTTGTTTGACCCGCAGTGACATTTGTCATGTTGCTATTGTAACAATAATTATTGTCATATGACACAATATCACAATGACACCTATTTAAGCCATTCATAATTACATTTCCCATAACCCTGAAAATTTCAAGTAAATTGGTTTAAAAATAATAAAATGACAGACAAATTCTCAGAACTTTATGATCATCCTATATTTACATGGTCAGTGAATTGATTGCCTTTTGGAAATTAGAAGATATGCATGCACCCCTTATAATTTTCACATGTCA